GAAGAATTGATGCTTTTGAATTATGGTGCTGGAAGAGACTCTTGAGAGTCCCGTGGACTTCAAGAAGATCAAACCTATCCATTCTTAAGGAAATCAGCCCTGAGCGCTCACTGGAAGGACAGATCCTGAAGCTGAGGCTCCAATACTTTGGCCACCTCATGAGAAGAGAAGACTCCCTGGAAAAGACCCTGATGTTGGGAAAGATTGAGGGCACAAGGAGAAGGGGACGACAGAGGATGAGATGGTTGGACAGTGTTCTTGAAGCTACCAGCATGAGTTTGACCAAACTGCGGAAGGCAGTGGAAGACAGAAGTGCCTGGCGTGCTCTGGTCCATGGGGTCACAAAGAGTTGGACACGACTAAACAACAACAACAGCAGCTTTGTAAACGTGGGTTGTTGGAACAATTGCAATACGACTGGCAAGACATTTGATGGCAGAACCACAGCCAGCCTTGTATGATCTACAGAGAGAACTGTGTCAATGCAGGTCTTATCCAAGCACCTCTTCACTGCCATTTCTAAGGCTTGGAAATGGGGGTTAGATGACCCTCGATCTAAATTGACTGCATGCTATTCTCAACTGCCCCAAGATAAAAGTAAATGGTTCCAAGAGGATATTATTTCCTTGGCCGCCTAATATATACAGGCAAAGTTCCAATTCTTTTTAAAAGGGTGATAAAAATGTGATGATATTTAAAGATTTCCTGTACACAGACATCCCAAGGATAAACTTGAGGTGTAGGGGGGGGTGGAGGAAACCACAGTTTGTTTATTTTCAGTCAAAGTTATTTTGAGAAGGGCAAGATTTATTTCATTGCTGTTAAGGTCACAACAACAGACTTTGTGAACACAAGGTATCTGTATTACCCACAATTAAACCTCAGGTACACTAGTATCTACCACGGGTGGAAGCTATAACGAAATATAGTAAAGGTCCAGCATTTGTTAGACAAAGGACAAAGGAATGACAGTAACTGACCAATTTATCTGGTGGAAACTCACTCAGCTCTTAAAAAACAAGCTTGTTTTACACACAGTTATCAAGGATGTTCTGATCCCATCTACCTCAACATCTGTCTATAAGACTAGCATTGTGGAATGCAAGTCCTACCACACCCAATACTTGGTCATGCTGATTTGGGCTGATGGCAGGCTGGTGAGCCAGAAATTTGCCATCAGTACTACAAACTGTAGCCAACCAAATTATTCAGAGAGGTATACAAGAAAAGTTTTATGGCCCATCCCCTGTTGTGAGTCCCCAGTATCTGGTAGTCAAGAGATTTACTGTCTTTCAGAATGAGAAAGAAGCCTCAGACTTTGCCTTCAGACTTTGCCCTCCCAACACCTAATACAGTGGTACCTGGGGTTAAGAACTTAATTCGTTCTGGAGGTCTGTTCTTAACCTGAAACTGTTCTTAACCTGAAGCACCACTTTAGCTAATGGGGCCTCCTGCTGCTGCCGCGCCACCACAGCACGATTTCTGTTCTCATCCTGAAGCAAAGTTCTTAATCCGAGATATACTATTTCTGGGTTAGCGGAGTCTGTAACCTGAAGCGTATGTAACCCGAGGTACCACTGTATACTTATCCATGTATCTATTTTTAAATAAATAAAAAGATATTGAAATATACTAAGCCGATGGTTTGCTTACTTTATAAACACAGAAAACAAAGCAAGCAAGCAAAAAACAGCAACGCTCACAAACATGTGAAAAGTCAATTTCAAATTCTATTTGTATCTTACAAAAGACCAATTAATCTGGAAGTAGCCACTGACAAATACACTGTCAGGTGGAAAAGCACAAAAAAAAATTATCTAGGCTTTTAGGGAGCTTCCTAAAATGTTATTATAGAATAAAATACACTAGATATCAACAAGCTGCGGCACTCATTTAACAAAGAACAATGGTGCAGAGAACTGACAACTGGAGCCAACAGTAAGGTGTGCAATGCTTTGACTCAAACTACTTGAATTCCCCCCTCCCCTGCCAAATGGCAAAGTAAAAAAAGGAGTCTCAAACAACTCCAGCACCAGATTCTACATATTTTTTTAAGGGAGAAATTTGGCAAGGGATTTGCCACTTCTCAATATTCTTAAACCTCATAACAAAAGCCAAATAGAGGTTTTACAAATATTGCAATTAGAACAGTAAAGGAAGCAGGGGGAAGTACACACATTCCACAAGACATTTAGAAAGGCCCATAATTTATAGGTGCTTATTTGCTAACCCTAAAAACATCTGAGCCAAGAAAGAGGAGACATGCCAGTTTGTAAACAGAAATAATACATACAGTGGGCAAAACTGAGAGACAGTCAATGGGATACAGACTCCAAGGATACAGACTCTATAGAATAAACTTCCAAGCATTTTGAAATCCTAAAAGATCAGTTCAGAATGTTTCCCATTGGCCATTATTTGCATGGTCACTATGAGAGGCTACTACTGGCGAGTTTTTCTATGGACATCTTTCATACTCCCCCAGCTCTCTCTTTCTTCACAACTATCTCCTGGGGATGCCTGACAAAGAGGAAAGCATAAGGGAGAGCTGAAGATCCCTTATCTGAAGGAGCAGACCTCTATGAGGCCCTGATAAGGACTTGGTAATGACACTAGCATACAAGAGAATATTGGTCCCAGCAATGGTCCCAACACAGATCTTTGACAGACATCTGCCAGGAGAACAGGCACTGACATATCTAAAGTTGTCCCGAAGCCATCCCTTATTCTGTTGGTCTGTGTGTGAGAAGGGATGAGGGGAGAACACATGTATGTTTGATCGGAAAAAAGTTATGCATGAAAATATAGCCTATGTGTACAGTGGTACCTTGGGTCACAGACGCTTCAGGTTACGCGATTTCGGGTTGTGCACCGCGCTGAACCCGGAAGTACCAGAACGGGTTACTTCTGGGTTCAGCGCTCGCGCATAAGCACTATATCATGCTTTGCGCATGAGCACCGAATCACAACCCGCGCGTGTGCAGACACTGCGCTGCAGGTTGTGAATGCTGCGGGTTGCGAACGTGCCTCCCGCATGGATCATGTTCGCAACCCAAGGTTCCACTGTATGTGTAATTGCAAAGGAAGAGGGATATGCATTTGGGCTGAGAGAGTGGGGAGATGTATGTATGTTTGGAGGGGGCGTGTGAAGGGAATAAATATGCCTGTGCGGTTTGTGAGAGGGACATATGTATGTTGGGGGGGTGTGAGGGAGGGATACAATTTTGACAGGGGTGCAAAGTAAGTATTAAAAACTCATGCATTATATCTACTTGTTTTTGAAGTGCTAAACGATTTTTCAAGATGAGAGATGAAACATCAGATCTCAGCTTGCTCAGTAGCTGATCTGGGACAGCAGACCAGAGAGAGGGCGGCATCTCTGCAACTTCACTGGCCGTGCACTAGCACACATTCAGCCGTTCAATACTCACAAGCCAGAGGCATGTGATATTGGGACAGCAGCAGCCTACAGGATCTTTTCTGCACAACATCTGGGCAAGAGCAGTCAATCTGAGCAGGAATAATCTGCTATTTATGCAGCAGTATTAAAGGCGTACAACCATTTCTAAGTGAAGCATGCAGTGGGAGGTAGCATACAATAAGCCTAATTCCAGGGCATAATTCCAACCCTGGCTTGCTTGAGAAACCAGCATCCAAACACTGTTGATACACACATTTTGTGGGCCAGCTACAGAGAGCTGCCCAACTCCTGTCAAGCCACTGACATATTACAAGTCTCTGCTTCTCTGGTCATTCCAAAGCCACTTCCCCCTATACATTTTTTAAAACATAACTTCAGTAAAGTAACATAGGAAGTGAACATATTTATATGAAGTCAGCTCATATTTTTTATAAAAGACCTTATGTGACAGCCAGCTCTAGCACGATAAACACTTCTACAGCTTGGCTCTGATGGGAAAACCCACCACAGAAGCCTCTCTTGTGCGGCAAGATAAACATGACCCATCTTTGGTGGCTGCTTTTCTCAAGTGGTCTTTCTTTGTGAAGGATGCATTATACTGTGCATGAAAACAAGATGTTTTCTGTGAGGGAAGTCTTCATGCATAGCTTATGATTATACACAGTATATGTACTGTATATGTGAAGCTTTCCTTTTGCAAATTCACTCCAGGGGCCTACCCATGCCTCACTGTGAAAACTTGGCACCTGCATTCTTAATGCAGCACTACCAACCATCTTTGGCTTCTCCTGCTTTTACTTATGGCAAGTGGTTGCCCAAGATACTTGGCAAACCTGATGCTTAGTCACTCATTCGTTTCCACTCCCAAATGCCTCTCCAAAACAACAAACATCAGCTCTTCTGAACAAGCAAGCATAGGATAGGCTGCAATTAAGTCTGATTCAACTACATCATTACACCTTTTACATTTTGTACTACAACCTTCAAGAGCTCAAGATGACTTATTGATAACTACTTTTCTCTATTGTATAGAACAGGGTCAGATGGAGAGCCTCTGGCCCACCAGAAATTGTCAAACTACAACTCCCATAATGCCAAACCATTGGCTAAGCAAGCTGGGCCACAGGATCCCCACCAATGGTCCAGAATGATTATCCACAACTCCCCCCCCCCCCCGGTTTTCTGTTTTGTTTAAATATTTATGCAAAGTCTTTATATGTACTGTTTTCACACCCTAGGAATCTTGTCCAGAAGGGCAGTGTGGGTAATTCAAATCATCAACAATGTGGAATAAATCACAGGATTATTTTTAAAATATATTAAAAAGGGTAGCTCCACCGACTTAACTTTCTTCCTCAGTCAATCACCTTTGGAGTTCGTGCACACACCTCTTAAATATTCAACAACTAATTCCATTAGTTTGTCTCCCATTCGGTATGCCAAGCTTTAAAGCCCTGTTGCTGGGGACTAAGACGCAGCTTCACATATTCCCTTATACCCAAACACCTTCCGAAGCAGTTTTATTTTCAAAATACCATTCCTCTCGATTAAAATTCTGGTTCTGAAGCCATCCACTAACCTCTAACAGTGTTGAAGAGGGAGAAGATGCATACGCAGGCGGCGGCGGCGGCGGGGTAAGGCAGGAGCCCCCTCCGCCGGGACATGACGACCGCAGCTGGAGAAGGGGGAAAATAATAAGGCTCCTCGAAAGTCTTTTGTGCAGCTGCGCCGGGAGAAGGGGAGAGAGCGGCGGCGGCGGCGGCCCTTTAGCAAAGGCCACCGCTAGAGCGGCTGCAGGCACCGGTCGGCTCGGCCAAGAGAAGAGGCGCGATCCTGGGCATTCCTGCCTGGTCCGGAGCAACCAAGGCAAAAGATAAAGGGGTGCGCGCGCGCGTGTGTGGAGAGAAATGGGGGAAAGAAGACACTGCCTCCTTCCTTACACCTCCACAGCAGGCTCCATCTCGCGCAATGCTCGCCTTGTTGCGCCCGCGCCGCCGCCGCCGCCGCCGCCGCGCACTTCTCCCGGGACTCGAAAAGTTGCGCGACTCCTCATCCGCCGAGTTCTCCCAGGCCCTGCCTTAGCAGCCTCTTCAACATCTCCGCCTGATTTTGCATCTGAATTTCTGACTAGTGGTTTGTGCGCCCCTCTCTCTTTCTCTCTCCGCGTCTCCTTTTCCCCCCTTCCTTTACTGGAACTCTCTCTTTTTACTCTCTTTCCAAGACTCAGCAACTTACTTCCTACAGGATCTGAATGGCAAATCTCCGCCCAGCCTGCCCAATAGGCACACGGGGATTTTTAACTCTCTGTAGCCCGATCAGGATGCACCTCCCCGCCTCCGATCACAGCATTAAATTCCTAATCTAAACTAAAGGCTTTTTTTTTAAATAAGCTAAATGGATCTATGGATTCCAGGTCAAAAGTAAGCGAGTGCATAATAAATTTGTTCTAGATTCAGGTAGGTAGCGGTCTGAGGCAGTCGAAATAAATTAAAAAATTAAAAAATTGTCCAGTAGCATTTTAGAGACCAACTAAGCTTATACCCAGAACAAACTTCGTTGGTCTCTAAGGTGCTACTGGACAATTTATTTATTTTTTTAAATTTAAACTTGTTCTAGATTGTTCTTAACCTTAAATGGCAATCCTATACGCATACTTATTACTTGAATAAAATTGTGACTCGGGCTGTATACACACCATACATGTAAAGCACGTCTCTCTCTCCCCGCCCCCCTCTAGAATCCTGGAAACTCAGCTACAGTTCCCAGCACACTTAAACTACAGCTCCCAGGATTTTGTGCCTGCGTGTGCTTTAATTACATTTGGTCGGTACGCAGCTCCAGTACAGTGGTACCTCAGGTTACATACGCTTCAGGTTACATACGCTTCAGGTTACATACGCTTCAGGTTACAGACTCCGCTAACCCAGAAATAGTGCTTCAGGTTAAGAACTTTGCTTCAGGATGAGAACAGAAATCAGGCTCTGGCAGAGCAGCAGCAGCAGCAGGAGGCCCCATTAGCTAAAGTGGTGCTTCAGGTTAAGAACAGTTTCAGGTTAAGTACAGACCTCCGGAACGAATTAAGTACTTAACCTGAGGTACAACTGTACGGAACTTAATTGCCCTCCAGTTACATGGTAATCATGGATGTAGCCAAGGGGGAGGGGGAACAGGGAGGGGCAGCTACCCCCCCATCAATAAATACCAATAAAAAAATACATAGCAAACAGATTCTGCCCCCCCACTGCACTCAACAAAAGGCCTGTCCACCCTAACAAAAATCTTGGCTATGTCCATGATGGAAATGTATGCTGCATTACTTTTCAGTTATCTCCACACGTGAGCCAGACTTGCTGCATTTGAAGGCACTCCTACCCATTTTGCTGAGTGAACGCTGGACTTCTACCCCAAAGTGCTGCCATGAGGGCACCATTAACAAGACCCTGCCATGCCCAGCAACTTGGAAAAACCCTCACTGAACTCACTGAAAAACTCACTTCTTCTGATAAAACATCTACAAGGCTATTGGACTGTAAGGTATTGATTTGTGGTGTGTAATTCTAAGGTAATGCCCTGGAGTAAAGGTAACCTGTGTATTATCTTCCAAGTACACTTTCCTACTAATACCCTGGGTGTATCTTTTTAAGTAAACTATCTGCCAGGGTTAGGTAAACCCAGTATCAGCCTGTCTCTGTCCACTATTTTAAGGATCAGACTGTTAAGTACTTACATCAAAGGCAAGGCTACTCACTTTGTAGGCCTGGAACGCTTTGTAGGCCCTTGATAAACAGGCTAACACATTACTGCATAAGTAAATGAAAGTAAAAACAAGCTGAAGGGTGGATCCTTTAGCTCCAACCCATAATAACTGGAGACAATATTTAACTCTATAATTACCAATTCCTGCACAGATCTTCTCCCAGTCCCCTAGAGAGAAATGAGTGTGCAGTTTCAAAAATAGCTCAGCTCCTCAGCAGACACAACAGCTCCCGAGTGTCCCTGATCCGTCAGTGCATACCTGTACACATTGGATAAATGACTTCACGCTCGCATGACAAGTAGTTAAAGCTTATTGCCTCCTGTTCCTGGCTGTGAACTGCTCTGGCCTGGTCTGGTTATGATTGGTACTAAATTGGGAAGCATGCAAAGAATAAGAGGGGGGAAAGAAATTTCGTGATGTACTGCAGCTATCAAATATAAGTAAAATTGGCCCCTACTAGAGATTATGCGAACTTAAAACAAAAGATCAGGTAGAGTGCAGGTATTCTATTAATCACCACTGCTCTTCTTCTAGAAAAAGAGGTGCCAGAACTCACCATGAATGCCTCCCTTGTTCTCTTATAATGGCAATGGCGTCCACCTGAGAGGTTCCAGAACTGAGTTTTGGTGAGTTCCAGCTTTAAAAAAGCCCTGCTCTTCACATATTCCTGAGCTGCCGTTGCTTATGGTGTGATATATGCTCTATCAGCAATAGCCAACAAGGTCCAGATGTTGTGGACTCCAGCTCCCATCATTCCTGCTGATTGGCCATGCCAGCTGGGGCTGATGAGAGTTGTAATCTGAAACATCTGGAGAGCTCCACATTGGTTAGCCCAGCTCATCAACTGTCAGGCAGACATCGGTTTTTAGGGTGCCACGAGTCCCTTTGTTGTTCACACTTAGGATACAAACAACTGTCCTATAATTTTGACTCTGCTAGACTTATTGCTGTGAGCCTTGCAATCCTTACATGGAGGGGGGGCATATAGGAAGATATGTCCTGGTGTATCTAGTCCAGTAACAGTTAATTCTCTTGGGACAAGCCCAATAGCTATTTCCACTGATAACACAAAAAATGACTTGCTATGCGTGTTTACTTGGAAGTAAGCCCTGTTGTGTTCAGTAGGACTTACCCCCTAGTAAGTGTGCCTAGGACTGCAGCTGCAGAATAACTCGTTTTATTGGTTAATCTCAAGTTTGCTGATAAGAGCAAAATCTAAAAGCCATTTGCTTACTAACTAAAAACAGCAGCTAATTGCTGATTGCCCCATGCTATTTAAATCACAAACAGAAAACATGTCATAATTCCTTATGTAATAACCAAGTGTTTCGCTCTTTCTCCTTTTCATGCTACTCTTCTGCCTGTTTTACCAAGTACCTACATTTTTTTACATTGTATTTATTGATGGATTTATTTCAGATGGTTCAGTTGGGTGAGAAGGAAGAAGGGAACGAGGCAGCAGGTGAAGAGCCTGTTCCAGTCAGACTGACTTCTTTCCACACCCAGCTCCAGAGCCAACTTATAGCAACAGTTTTGTAGAAAGGAACATCCACTGCCAGCTCCTGCTCATGGAAAAGGGACATAGTTCAGGAGCAGAGCATCTGCTTCACATTCAGAACGTCCCAGTTCAGTTCCCCAGCATCTCCAGGTAAGGCTGAGGAAGCCTGCTGCCTGAAACTCTGGAGAGCCGCTGTCAGTTAGTATAGACCAGGGTTTCCCAAACTTGGATCTCCAGCTGTTTTTGTACTACAATTCCCATTGTCCATGACCACTGGTCCTTCTAGCTATGGATGATGGGAATTGTAGTCCAAAAACAGATGGAGACCCATGTTTGGGAAACCTTGGTGTAGACAGCACTGGGCTAGATGGACCATTTGTATGACACAGTATAAAGAGTGGCTTCTTACCTCCAGCGCAGCTGGTCGTGTTGTGTTGTGTTGTTTGTAGCCTGGCCATGTGCTACTTGGTCTATCTCGTGTATTTTATAAGTGTCGTTGGTGGCTTTGATTCAAAAGGCAGGATGTGAATCTACTGAATAACTAAATAAATGAAATAGCCTAGCAAATATTCTTAGGTTAGCATGCAATTTAAAAGTAATCTCCCTACCCCATCCTTTTCTAGTCTTCCTTAAGCATTGGGATACATATTTTACATTGTGAAACATTTTGGGCAAGAATTATAGGGGAAAGATAATAATAAAATGCATGAGCCTCTCCCCTCCTGGTCTGTGCCCCTCTCCCCCGCCCAGTTTTAGTCATATCATGTCCCAGCCGCTGTCTAAAAACAGTAGCTGGCAGAAAAGTAGCTGTTCCTCTGCCCTTCCTGTAATTTGAGCACCAGACTCTTCTCTTAGGCTAAGCAAGCTAGGAAGCTGCCAGTCAAAGGATGAATTAATATGATGCTGATGGACATACACCTCACTGAAGTGCAGTAAGTGTCACACAGATCTCAGCATCCCTCCCACTGAACTAGTTCACGAACCAGTTTTATGAGTTGCTGGTCTTTAACGTAGAATGCCAAGATGCAATAGAAATCATTCTGTGCTGCGTGATGATATATGGAGGGTGGAGGGTTTTTGGTGTTTTTTAAAACAAGCTTGTGGCTTTAAGCCAATCCTTTAGCTTAACATGGATGGCTCTTCAACAGCAGTTTAATCATCTTGCTTGTCAAGAAAGACAAACATGAATACTCCCAGCGCTTGCATCGTTGGCTCAGTTAGCCGATCTCTCACTTCCATCATACATATATTGCTTTCTCCCTCTGTGTTAAGACCAACGTGGCTGCAAATGAAGCATATGAAAAAAGGAAGAGTTTCAGTTCAACCATGTGTAAATCGCATCCAAAAAAAAAAAAATCACAGAAAACAATATGCTTGGAGGAAGAGGGCTGTTGCAAGTTTTTAATTAGGCATTTGGGAGAAATTATTTGGAAAAGAGATTAAGGCTTTGATCCTATCCACACCTAGCTGGCAATAAGTCCCATTGAACTAAATGGGGATTACTTCTGAGTAGGCATATATAGCATTGCACTGCATAGCATTTTTGTATGGCTTTATATGTGTGGTTTTTTTTTAAAGGATCACAGGTATTTGAGGAAGAGACATTTTTTGGAACTAGAAAAAAGTAGTAAGCATATTCTCAGAAACCATATGAAAAAGCAGAAACTCTTGGGGAAATGTCAGGCCTATGACCTCCACAATCGACACCACCCCCATCTCCCCTAAAACACACACACGCAATTTACCACTTGTCAACGAGGTGGCAAATTTCCACTGTGCTTTTTTTGTTCTGTCCTATGTACCACAGGCCCATGGGGCTTGCTTCTACTTTTTGCTGCTATAGCCAAATTAAAAATACTCATATCGGGAGGGCCAACTGCCAGGTCCCTGTTGATGGCTAAGGAGATGGTATGTTCTTCTGGGCAACATTCTGTGTGGCCTGAGCTGAGATTCCCTAGAGATCTTCAAATAAATCCTTCCTAATTGCCCACAGTGATGGGGGCCAACCAGCATGCATGTTGTTGTTACTCTGGAGGATTCAGCAGGAAGCTGGGAGCAGCTGCCAGAGAAGCATTGTGAGAACGTCTCGCATTCCTGCACATGCCAGCACTTAAAATGAGCCATTTGTCTTTACAAACAGGATAGCTGTTGGGAAGGAGAACAGAAAGCTGATCTTGGGCAGATGCATTAAAACTGGATGGTTCCACTGGGATGCTGTGGAAATGTGGCACGGCTGTGGTTTTGTAGGCAGGTTCCAGCGAAAGTGATGTACAAGGCAGGGCTTGAAACACGGGCACTTATCTGTTCAGGGCTTTGGGGTAGATGCTTTAATATATCAGGAACATTATTATACTAACTTATGTGCAGAGCCAGCGGAAAATATATTGTTGCTGAACCTAGTACAGTGGTGCCTCGCAAGACGAAATTAATTCGTTCCGCGAGTTTTGTTGTCTTGCGATTTTTTTCGTCTTGCGAAGCACGGTGTCGGGAAAGTTTTGGAAAAGCTTCAAAAATCACCAAGGTCTTTAAAACCTCAAAAAAGGCTACCACACCGCATGCTATGAGTTGCTCCTCGAAGTCAAGTCGCAACTGTATTAACGGTGTTAAGAAAAGGAAACAAACTTGCAAGACGTTTTCCGTCTTGCGAAAGCAAGCCCATAGGGAAAATCGTCTTGCGAAGCAGCTCAAAAACAAAAAACCCTTTCGTCTTGCGGGTTTTTTGTCTTGCGAGGCATTCGTCTTGCGAGGTACCACTGTAGTTTAAAATGATCAGCATTATCTGCACACAAGTCTGTCCGTTTTTTCTATATAATTCTATATATTTTTAACAGCACATATAAGCAAAATCACATAAAGCCAGAACAACCCCCAGAATGGGCCCACATGGCCATCCCTACCTGTTCAGTGTCGGTGCTGAGAGGGCCTTGCCTTGCCCTATGCAAGGTTTTTAAGCCCCTCGTCCTGCTTACTGGGCTCTGGGAAGGTTGCATGAGGGCTCTTGCAAGATTTCAGAAGGCCCTTCCAGGAGTTTTCCCTGTAAGATGCAAGTCACCTGTATAGTCTAGAAAACTGGCTCTCTTGAGGCAATAGTCTGCTTTTTGGTTATGAATATAAGGCTGACTGTATTTTGTTGTAAAAAGAAAGGCAACTTTGCACTAAGAAATGCAAGGTTATGAACTCAAAACAAATGATTCAATAATATGCTTCATTTACATGTAGTTATTGCAGTATTTGGATTTTAATGTAATTTGAATTTCATTTTAATTTCTTTTACAAGGGCATGAAAGGAGAGGTGAACCATGGTGGGAGTTTGTAGTGGCATCCGATTGTCCCATTCTTCAGCTTTCCTGATCAAGTATCTCAAGAAAATTCCTGTGCTGGCCTGGTCTTCAATTCAGTTTCTGTACTCAAACCATGTCACTGTAAGACTATTTGAATATGAGGAAATAATAGGTGGTATAATCATTCCTGGACCCACAACCCAGTTTGTGGACTAGCAAAGTCGAAAAAAGGACAACAAAGCCAGCATTTAAATATGTATTTATTGGTTGGCCACACTACAACAGAAGGTCTCCAGGTAGCTCCAAGGTAAAAAGAAGAACAAGAATAATTCATACTTATAAATAAATAAGATACAGGAAATACTATTAATGCAATACAAATATAGGATCAAAAAGTTCACTTTCAAAACAGAGCAGAGGAAGACAACTCAGCAGCCATAGTAAAAGTGAACTCATTATGGGCATGATTTCAGGTGTGGTGATTTGGATATATGGGTAGCAAAAGTAAGACTCTTGTAGCCATACCCTCCAACACTTCTCTGGTGAAAACAGGTACATTCCATTCTATATCTGTCAACCATTTCTCCGATGAAAATAGGGACGAACTAAGGAAAAGTGGGAAATTCCGGGATCAAATCATCAGAAACCAGGATGGCTTCTGTAAATCCTGGACCGTCCCTGGAAAAGAGGGACACTTGGAGGGGCTGTTTTGGGGGCTGTGCATCATAAGAAGCTATGTTTATTCCAAGAAAAAATGGTATCCTTGCACCAAAAGTTTCAGGAACTCCAGAACTCAAGTTTGTTAACTAGAGTTATAGTTAATGACAGAGCACCATCTTGTGGACAATGTGCTGTTCATAATTTTTGCAAAGCAATTTCGGCATTTTTTGGATAAAAACAACTTGACATGAAATAACTGTGGTCACGTATTACATGCTTTTCTTTAAACACTTATAGCAAGTAAACAACTTTAAACAGTTTCTTATGGAAAGCATGACTGACACTTGATTACATCTGTGTGTCATAATTAAGAATAATCAAGTAATCTACAAAGACATGAGCATTTCTATAGCAGGCCAAGAACAAGTTATCATTCAGGCCCTGTTGGAGCCAGGCTTCTAGGGGCCAGTGATATCTGCCTACAAACCATCAGCAACTGATCGAGGCAGGTACAAGTACACACACTGTGCTGTGTAGATTCCAGAGTTAACAGCTAATTTTGGGGAACTGGTAATACTACTCTTGGGATCTTTATTGGAGACAGTTCACCCACCCGCACTGATAGGCTTGGTTTGGTCATGAACACCTTCCCTACTTTGGGGGAGGTTAGCACTGACCAATAAAAAACCACCTTGTAGCATGTTTACCCTAGAGAGGTAGCGATGACAACACAGGGTATTGCAACTATATTTATTTACAAAATAATTTTAAAAGGGGGGTTTTGTGCTTAAGCATGCAGCTGGAGATACCGGTATATACCGAGTTAAAGGGATTAATAGTAGATTACAGAGGTCACGTCACCGACTTGCGTTGCCTGGACTGTTCACCTAGTTTCTAAGGCAGAGATACAGGTAATATTTGTTGAAAACAATACTAAAAAAAACCTTTTAAAAAAAGACAAGAAGAAACGAATCAGCCTTTCTCTGGACTGAGACTAGAGCTAGTGCCATTTAGGTGGCATGTCGATCCTTCAGAAGTGATTAGCAGGATTCTTCTTCTGTATTGTGAGCACTCTAATTACCAAACAGCAGTGTCACAAAGTGGTTCAGAAGAAACGTGTGTTGGCTTCTCAGTAATGCTCAAATTCACAAACATCCGCAGTCTCTTATGGCTGGACTCAGAATCTGTCTCTTGATGACATTTCAAGCCAGGGATTCTGTTAAACAATGTAAAAAAAAAAAAAGGAAAACAATTTAACAGGTATAGATGCAGTCACAAGAGTTCTGTTGCCCAGTGGCGTAGCGTGGGTTGTCAGCACCCGGGGCAAGGCAAGTAAATTTGCGCCCCTAACCCGTGGATTTGCGCCCCTAACCTGTGGATTTGCCCTAACCCCAGATGTTGCGCCCGGTGCGGCCGGCCCCCCCTGCACCCCCCACGCTACGCCACTGCTGTTGCCTAGCCATATATATTACAAAACATGCTTGTTCTGTCTCCTTCCACTAGTCACACCTCTACCATTTCAAAGCTAAAAGTTAGTTCTGTGCTAGCAAGCCACAAATACTTCATTAAGTATCACTTTTATTGTTATAATTGTGTTATTAAGATTATCTCCCCTGTTACCTGAACTGCAATGTTCAACACTAGTTATCCACATTCACTAGGTGTCCCACAGCAAGAGCCAATATCAGAGGCAAGGCAAGGCAGGAATCTGTCCAGGGGATCAGTGCTCTAAGGAAGCTGGGTGTTGAGTTTCCCATTAAAGTTCAGTTCCCAGTTACAAATGCTGTCAACCATTCAAAGCTTCCAGAGCAAGAGCTGCTAACCCTCTGGCTCTTTTCTTTGACCCATTGCATGAAAAGCAAATGTCCAAGCAACAGTGGAAAAAGAGAGAAGATATTGTAGTTCTTGCAGCCATCACTCAGGTTCCAGCAATAGCTAAACAGCTCAAGGAGATGGGATATTGCAGCTTGGGGGGAAAGGGGAGATAGTTTCTAAGCAGTTTACAAAATAAACTGAATGAATGGGCAAATATTTAGGGTGGGTAGATGGGTGAGAGCACCCTTAATTCTTCTAGCTTGTGAAGTCTTTCTCTCCCCCCCCCCATGTTGTGGCTTTGCTATCTTATATTGTTTTACCTACTGATTGATTTATGGCAACTTATTTTACTCTATTGTATATTTTGTTGTAATAGGTTGTTTTCCGCTGCAGGGACTTTTGTGCTGAAAAATAGTACAGAAAGGAATTGTAGTAGCCGTAATAATAATCCGGAACTGTGAAAGGCGCAACAGTGCATTAGAAATGAGCAGCATGAATCTCTACTAAAGCAGCCACTTACATTGTCGTCGTCATAGTCCCGCTCAGGAACATAAGCCTTGTTTGCTGCGCCTGCTTCACGCAAATTGCCTCCTTGGTTAGCTGTGGTTGTGCTGGGTGCCTCTGCAGGATTTCCAGCTTGGACTCTTGGGAACATCCTCTGCTTTACAGCAGGGTTGCTGTAAGAGCCATTTCCAGGAGTTTCTCTTGTGGTTGAATAATCATTTTGTAGCAAGCTCCTTCTTTCAAGTGAAGGCTCTTTATTTCTTCTAGGAAGGAAGGAAGGAAAAGATGAACACATCTTGGTCTTTTCCATACCCTGATTAGTCTTCCTGTATTCCCAAAAATATGGAAGTGAGAGCTGGACCATAAAGAAGGCTGATCGCTGAAGAATTGATGCTTTTGAATTATGGTGCTGGAGGAGACTCTTGAGAGTCCCATGGACTGCAAGAAGATCAAACCTATCCATTCTGAAGGAAATCAGCCCTGAGTGCTCACTGGAAGGACAGATCCTGAAGCTGAGGCTCCAATACTTTGGCCACCTCATGAGAAGAGAAGACTCCCTGGAAAAGACCTTGATGTTGGGAAAGATGGAGGGCACAAGGAGAAGGGGACGACAGAGGACGAGATGGTTGGATGGTGATCTCAAAGCTACCAGCATGAGTTTGACCAAACTGCGGGAAGCAGTGGAAGACAGGAGTGCCTGGCGTGCTCTGGTCCATGGGGTCACGAAGAGTCGGACACAACTAAACAACTAAACAACAACAAATTCCCAAAAATGCAAATTGGACACTTTCCGGAAATGAGTGATAATGAATAATCACAAATAGTGCTGCCACGCAAAACAATGGCCAGGCAGGGTGCAGCTGATTGTATCAGTTTAAGATGATAAATGAGTATTTTTGGAGACAGCTGCTACTGGGGATACAGGAGTAGGTCTGTGCCCATCAGGAAACCCAAGTTGTTCTCTTATAGTATTTTGATACAAATTCAATAGGAGAAGTTAGACTAAAGTTACCAGATTTTTTTCAATGAATCCGGGGACACTTTTCAACTTCAATGGATTTTGTATGGGGACTGATTTGTAAATCTGGGGACTGTCCCCAGGAAACGGGGACATCTGGTAACCTTAAGTTAGACTCAAGTGGCCACCCAGTGTTATAAACTTTACCGTTACGCATATTCAGACAACTCAAAGAGCCGTCATTTGTACCTGATTACTTTGTAGATGAGCACTCCAATTAAGACTATAATAACAACTCCACACGCAACAGATACTCCTACGAGGGCTGCCAGGTAAACTGAAAAGAGAATGATGATGATGATAATTTGTTATTTATATGCCACCCTTCTGACTGGGTTACCCCAGTCATTCTGGGCAGCTTCCAACAAATTAAAACACAATATGACATCAAACATAAAAACTTCCCTGAACAGGGCTGCCTTTGGAAGTCTTCTAAGAGTCAGATAGTTGTTTATTTTATTTAATTGCACACATGACCCTCTTGCAATATATACATAACATGTTTTATAAGATGAAAACATTCAGCTATTCAGAACTAGGGATGGACAAATCTGTCAACTTTCAGTTCTCTCATGTACTCATTTTTCCAATCTTAAATTCCCTTCTCCACATATCTCCAGAAATTTTTGTGGGATTTCAAAAATCTAATTATGAAAATTATTGGGCATTTTAGTGTAAAATTATCCTAATGAACAGGATTTTGTATGTAGTTTTGACCAATATACACATTTTTGCAAGCTATTTTCCTCAATATAATGCATATTTGTATGTTATTTTCTCTAATATAGGCATTTATATGTACAATTTACTCTAATGCATGTGTTATTGTACACATTACTAAGCTCAAAAACATCACTGCAAAATTCAGAGAAGTGTGAATTTTGAAGGATAGCTGTGTTTCAGTTCACGTATTGTTTTGAAACATGCAAATTCAGGAAGTTTGCCTTTAAACACAAACTGAATTAAATTAAAGGTATATTTATCGCTGTGAATTCATTGTCCTAATTCTGTTACTATGGACTCTGCTCAACTTGCTGATAATGGCTCTAGGCTTTATATAAAAACCACCCCAAATTCATGCTTACCTTCCTTACAGTCTTCCCCAGAGTAGCCAAAAGCACACCTAAAAACAAAGAAAAAGTTGCACAAAGTGACTACTGCACATGACATCCAAACTATATGGGGATTGTCCATATGGTGATAGTAACTACCAAGAAGAATTAGAACAGAGGGACTGACACATTTGTCTTTCTATAGCCCAAATGACCTTTTCTGGCCATCACAGCCTCAAGAGGCCACTGCCACTCTAATTAACCCCCCTCCAATTTTCTGTGCCCCCCATTTTTTCCCCCTTTCAGTAACAAATTGGGGGGAATGGAAAAATGGGGGGGGGTGTTCCTCAGCACAACCCCGTGCCTTCACATCTTTATCCTCCCTGTAGCAAAACATCAAAGCACTTAGAGCAGGAGTAGAGAATCATTTCCAGTTCAAAGGCTTCATCCCACATGCCAGTGGCAGGCAGAGCCAGAAGCAAAAAGTGGGAGGAGCAAGAGACGTTGTTTGGGGACAGGTATGGCCTGGGCAGAATCCCGAGGGTCAGACAGAAAGACCTAAACAGCTGCATTTGGTCTGTGGGCCTGAGATTTCCCACTCTTGCTTTGGGAAAGGCCAGGGAGAAGCATAGTAAAATACCCCCTCTTCCATTTGCCTTTTACTTACTCCTGACATTTGTCACCCTCTTTTTGGAAACCAGACTGGCACCGACACTCTGGAACGTTTTCCGCTGTCATAATACAGTGTTGATTCTTTTCTGGAGAGCACTCAGTGGACTTGCAAACTGCATTGAAAGTGGAAAACGAGAGATAGTCAAATATAGCATTGTACCGTACCAATAGAAGTCAAAAGTACTTGCTGCACAAACACAAAATATGTGGCAGGAAAATCACAGTGCAAAACATTTCCAGGTTAAGGGGGATGCAAACATTTATTTTATTTTTTATCTGGAAGCAAATGACAAGGAAAGGAGAGCTCAACTTCCGCTATACTCCACTGGAAATGAATATGTAGGGCGAAATTGGGAAGACGAAATAAACAGCTTTGTAAATTCAGCTATAAACCCAAGACATAAAGGAAGGGAAGGGGGAAAGTAAGAGAAATGCTATGGGATAAAATATTCAGGGTGGGTGCAATTCGGGATGAATGCTCAATAAATAGGTAGTCTGAAGGAGCCGAATGACGGCTGAAAGCAGAGATGAGAAGGGTGAGAAAGAAAGCGCACACATCTGTGATAAGCCCTTACGTAAACAAGCTTTGTCCTCAGGGTTCATCTTGGCAAGACTTGGACGACATTCACAGGTAGGATGAGAATCACTGTTTGTGTCACTGCATATTGTAGTTTTTCCATCACAGCCGTAAACAGCACACTGTGATAGATCTAAAACAGAGTGCAACAGCAGAGAGAGCAACATCACTTTCAGCAACAGTTATTTCTATATGTTAGGCACAACTTAACAGCAGATTCTTTCAAGGAAGGAAGCAATTAACAAGGGCAGCTGGCACATGTATCTTCAGTCAGTAGTGGTTGGTGGTTGGGGTGGGGTGGGGTGGAGTGGCATTGCTCACCTGGCTTCCTAATATCCTCACTATCTTCCCATCTCAGGAACTATCAGTGACACTCAGTGTTAGGATGCCTGGTGAGCAGTGCTGTCCTGTTGACTGCTACTGCCTACAGCTGTGGTGGGGCAGAGCCTCTAGAGCTCATGTACACAGCATCTGCATGAATGTAAAGCAGCAAGCAGGGCGCTTCAAACTTTGGTCACTAGCAATTAGTCTCCAGTATTTTCTGTGCTCTAGGGCAGCAAGCAAGTTAGGCTGTATTTTGGAAAAGAGTACCCTCTGAGCTTCACTTGTGAAGCAAATTAGAATAAACCATTGACTGCCAAGCCAGTTTATCAGCCTGAGCAACTTGTAGACAGTAGTCTGTCTACTCTCCTGGCTTTGACCTCACATTTGCCTCTGGCTCTTTGATCCTCATACATCTGACTCAGTGCCTGCCCTCTGGCACAGATGTGGCCATTTTGATTGCTTTTCTGACCATGTACCTGCATCTCAGCAGTGCCCCATGTGCACGCTATATTGGAGCTAGCAAGGTCTGACAACACACCAATGTGTCAAAGACATTGTTCCAGTAGATGCCTTCATCCTGTTTACTGTTCCTTGGCCTGTCACTATGTTAATTATTTGTCCTCCAAACCTCAGGTAAAACATCTAACAATATACCGCTTTAGGGGTGAAAGTATAAGAAAGATACTTAACTCTCAGATTAAGATTGAAACTTTCTGGTACAACTGAGAGCAGCAGGAGATTTTGTGTAAGATCTCACATACACACCCACTAAAAACTACTATTAACATAGTAATAATTTAGACAGCAAACAGGTTCTGTCACAGAAAGTCTTGGCTTGAGAACAGCATTGGCATGCTCTTGGGAATTATAGAACAGCAGCAACTGGGGTTCTGGGGTGCAAAAACTTATCTATAGGGAGCAGCAGCAGTATAATTCTGTAACTGTCAAAAACAGTACAATTACTTTATCCCAACCAACAGGAAGAACTTGGGGTTGGTTTTTTTTTATATATAGGCAGGAAATGAACTCAGTGCTATTGCTTTTTAATGTCCTCCCTAAGAGGTGGAAGAATTAAATTCACACATCTCTGCTAGGCTGGACTTGATTGACTGGTTGCAGTTCATCTCAGCAATTAAAGTACCGTAATAGGTATCTACTACTGGGAAGAATGGGACTTTGGTCTCAAGAGGAAGGAGGAACGAGAGCATTCTATTCAGCAGAAGGAGCACTTTGGGGATAGGGATTTCTTTATAGACTACTTAGTAATAACACTGGTGTAGGATCATGTAAAGGATTCTGAAAAGAGTACGGTACTTACTCCGATCGAACTTGATGGCATTCGAACTATTAACCTTCTCCATCCATGCTTGAGGTGTTACTTTTGTGTTTATATCAAACAAATTGATTAACGTAATGCTGACGTTGCTTGCGGCTTCAGCCTTACTCAGCCTTTTTGATGCTTGTGTAGATGGTCTGAAATGTATATACATATCTTAGAGATACGTTAGCAATATACTCTGTGTGTACACACACACACACACACACAGAGAGAGAGAGAGAGAGAGAGAGAGAGAGAGAGAGTATATATATATATATGGGTACCTTATGCCCTTGGTCCACCCAAACACTATTGTAGACACCAGGTTAGTGACCTAACATATTATTCATTAGATGATGCCTTATAAGGGGCTACCCCACATTTTATGTATTCAAAAAATTGCTTTGCCCAGGTAACTACCATAGAGTTATCAAAATTTTCAAAAGTAGAGAGTTGGTGGCTTGGCTTTTGAAAAATGGGGGTCCTCAGTAATTAGCTTCCAAGTGTGGCTCCTTATGTAGCCAAAATGATGACACCATCCAAGCCCAAGAGGGAGGTATCTGCAGGATAGGGGAAACTCCCAAGATTTGCAAAAGTGCAAAAAAAATGTTTAGGAAAAGAACCCTAACTGTGGGGCGGTGGAGAGTCTGATGAAGACTGAGCATGCTTACTGGCCTCAAAATACTGGCTGACAGTCCGAGATAGAAAACCAGAAAACCCGGGGGTGGGGGTGGGGAGGGACAGAAAGGCATATCCTTGAAAAGGGCATGAGCTGGAATCCTAACTAGGAACATTCTACACTGCAACATTTTGTTGAAGGCCCTACTGGCTATGTATATATTAAACTTGCCATACTTACTTTATGCTTATAATGATTGTTTCCTGGTAACTTTTCTCATCTCTGAATATTTCACTGAACTGTAAAACATGAATAAAAATAAGGTTCAGTTTAAAGGAGGCAGAAAACATAGAAAAACAGATGAGGGGAAAATGACAAGTGCAAAACTGAATCCCAAAGCAGTAGCCCATGTACCCCTTCCACTCCCCTATTTCTCAGAGGACTCCCATGGACCAGAAGCATAACTTGTGAGTCGTGTCAGTAATGAGTCATGCCTCCAATGCAGTAGGCACAACTCTATGGAACCCCCTATAGAAATCAGGCAGGCACAGTCGCTGCAAAGTTTCAGGTTAAAATGGTTTTTATTTTAGAAGGCATTTGGACTCTGAACATTGTTTGAGTGTTTCTATAGTCTGGTGTTTTGCTCTAAGTTTTAATTTTTTTAGACAGTAGGTTTTATTTAGAACTTGCACACCAATCTCTTGAAGCAGAAGCACCTTGTGTTTTAAGTGTTCTTGAATGCTTAGTTTTTGGAACCAACAGTAGCTTAAAAGTTTCCCTTTCATGCTGCTTGGGCACCTCTAGGGTGCTGGAGGCCGGAAGCCTGCTACAGAACGAGTGACGGGTCTTCAACCCCGTGCAGCCCGAGAACACTATACTACTGCTTGCAGTAAACAACTACCAGGAAGGTAGCATAGAGGCTGTACCCTAGCCAGCAAACCACTTCTTACAAATGGCAACTGACACATTGCGAGCAAAGATAAAACATTTACAGAGCTCACTTGTGTGGAGCTCTAAGTAGTGGAATATATATTTATGTCTTCAATCCCCTTACCCATTCTTCTACATGCTTCCCAAGGCAGTACTCTTTCATTTCCACTCTTGCCTCCATATTACAAATTTATTTTCAGATGTGATGGACAAGGTAGGAAAAAAAACTGGGAATAAACTTCATTTGCATGTAACAACAAACCCTGCTTCACCATGGTTTTGCTTAATGCAAACGGAGTTGCTGAGTAACTCACAGATGTTATGATGATAGCTCTAGAAACGGACCACCATTCAGCTTCATTCAGATGTACTCATACACTGATTTTAAATTATATCATATTGTTTCTTTTATTTGTATTGCTTCTTTTATTTCTTATATTGTGTTTTATTGTATTAGAGTTTGAATTCCATGGAATGTAAATGCCAATACAATACCATAAAAGAAGCAAGGAAACACTACTTAAAATCATACTGCATCTAGCGTAGTGCATTACAATTTGTACAACGTGCAACTCACAAGTGGTGCATCAAGAGAAAAGAGTTTTGGAACTGCTGCTCTGGAAGCACACAGGTTTTAAATGATTAAAAAATTTCAGCAGAATGTATGTGCAAAAATAAAACTGATATTTACGCACATATCTGAACTGCCCATTGGATTAGTTTCCCCCCTATTTATGTTCAGTGGTGTCTTGCATAAATTGATAGTGAGGTTTGCACCATTTCAGAACTTCATCACCTCTTCCAATCAAGTCAATCGCCAAGTGAATAATCAAAGGGGGAGCTGGCTTGTGGGGCAGTGCAGTCTCTGCCATGGCCAGGAGAGGGATCAAGTGTTCCCAGGGCTTCCTTCTTTGGCATGGCCCAGAGACATCTTGAGAAGGGGCAACAGGCTCTTTAAAAGGAATTGTGGGTCCTGACCCCTTGGCCTTCTTCTTTTCCTTTATTTTCTAGAACTTCATAACCACTTCCAATCAGTCTTGCCTTACAACCACTAGGTTTGATTGGGTACAAACTGGCCCTCAAATTTGAAGGCAATTCGAATGAGTTTTTTTATGTGTGGAAATAGCTGAGATATATCACAAGGCTGTAGACAAGAGTATCATTTTAATACAATTATTAAGTGGCATTTTTCTGGGTATTAAGTAAGCTTGCATTACACAAACTTGTTTCTCAACTATAGGAGAAAATGTCAGTTTAAATAAAAGTAGTATCTGCACATGCAGACAAAATCTGGTTATAATGTGTATGTCAAAAAGCACCCTCAGTGAATTTTTTCTCTATGCAGTTTAATCATACTCGCTCTGATATATCTATGAATAGCAAGAAATATCTATATGCACCTATGTCTTTAAAAGAAAAAGATGTAGAGCATTAGTTTATAACAAAGAGGATATACAATGAAAGAAACTTACAATGTTGGTGACATTGTGGTACAAAGCTGCATAAACTTCAGATTGAATATTTTCCATAGCTTGATCATATGGTTGCATCAGAGTGAATTCTCCTGGAAATATTTTGCCTAAAATTACAATGGATCTTATATTAGTCATATAACGTCTGGAAAATCAGTCCTCTATTAGCTGTAGCTACATGCTAGACTTGCAATTTGTCAATGTATGCTTGTTTTGAAAAGGATATATTGTCCTGGGTTAGACAAGAAGCAGGAAAAAATTAATGATTCTAGGATTTGTGTTAACAAAGAGAGAGAATGCTAGGCATTTGTGAATGGATGCATATTAGTGTTTTCTTCAGACATGTTCAGCATTCACTAAAGCAGAAGCATCGTAACAGAAGCATTTCTATTCATTTGAACAGAGCCACACAAGAGATAAATAAATGCATAACTCACCTTGCTGGCAACCTGATGTGTTCATATAATAAAATCCATAAGGACATTGGCATGAAAAGCTTTGGAACAGATCAATACATACAGCAGCGTATTCACATGGTTGGTCAGCACAAGTAGGGGGTCCTAAAATGAAAACCATAATGAGAACAAGGATTTCCACCCCTACTTATAGATTATACATTAGTAGAACTTATAAAGCCCAGCAGATCCATTGAGAGCACACAATGGGGCTTCCTCCTCTCTCCTCCGCTGTACATACCCTCACCACCCTCATATTTGCTCCAAAGAGCTGTATGACACACACACCCCAAGCAGATTTAGGGGATGTGTCTGTTAGGATTCTTTTCCCGTGTTGCAGTCATGGGATTGTTTATATCACATGACGGTGTATGTTTTCATTCCACATTGTGGGAAGTGACAGAGACAGGATGTTTGGATTACTGTGTTTCCGTGATGTAGGGCATTTGTCCTTTGCTCTTTCTCTTTGCTGTCTGATACTGAAGAGGAAGGAACTGAGTTATGATGCTCCGAGTGTGTATATGTAAATAAATGTAGTTTAGCCAAAATGCTGCGCTACTGAGTCTGTATGCTGACTGTCTATACTCTGCTGATCCTGAAGTGTGCTGATGCCTCTAAGGTATCAGTCGCTGTGATGTTTGGGCTGGAGAAAGATTTTGAATCTCCCAAATGAACAACCAGGAGCGAGAGAACATGCCAGTCAGGCATGTGTCTCTGCCAGACTCCTACTCGTGTGTAGGACCTCCTGACAGTGCCTGGGGGCGGGGAGAAGAGGGGGAAATATTCTGTCGCGAAAGCAGACAATCTTGTTATACAATATGCTTTGCAATTTAGTTAGTGTCTGGTTATTTTGAACAAAAAAGACCAGGAAGCAGTTGTGTAATGATTACCTGGTGTAGTTACTATTCCTGCAGTTGCAGTTGAGGAAGTTGGAGCATCCGTTGAGTTTGTGAGCATGGAGACACTTGATATTTCTGTGGGCATGGAGACATTCGATGTGTCTGTGGGCGTGGAGACATTCGATGTGTCTGTGGGCGTAGAGTCACTCGATGTGTCTGTGGGCGTGGAGACACTTGATGTGTCTGTGGGCGTGGAGACACTTGATGCTTCTGTGGGCATGGAGACATTTGATGTGTCTGTGGGCGTGGAGACACTTGATGCTTCTGTGGGCATGGAGACATTTGATGTGTCTGTGGGCGTGGAGACACTTGATGCTTCTGTGGGTGTGGAGATACTCGATGTTTCTGTGGGCATGGAGGCACTAGGTGTTTCTGTGGATGCTGTGGTATTTGCTACTCCTGAAGGTAAAACAAATAAAGGGGAGAAAAGCACCACATCTCTGTGCGTCTAATCTATCTATCTATCTATCTATCTATCTATCTATCTATCTATCATCTATCTATCTAAACAACAAATAGCAATTACTCACAGAAAGAGTAAGAGAACTACTGTCATAAGCAAGTACACTTATTCAAATCTAGAATAATTAATGTAGTGTCGTTTGTTTCGGCCATAGTGGAGTTTTGGTTCACAGTTGTGGTCCAGTGTTTAGGCCGTACATATTGTCTCTAGTGGGCTGCGGGAGTGGGCCTCAAGCCTGCATGACTCCTACCACACAGGCAGCACTTTCAGAGCCTCTGGATGTAAACACCTGTATGAAGAGGCCCTGGTCCCATGTGATACATATGCTAAGGAAAAGGAGTGGACAGATTGTCAGAGTGGGGTCTACTTATGTACATATATATGCACATTGGCCACAGTTCTCACTGAAGGCTCTGTGTGCAATACTGGAGGGTGAGTGAGCCTGAGGCCTTGTCATGTGTAAGAGCCAGACCGTACTTCAATTAAAATGTATTTATAAAATATTTCACTCCAAAATAATGCTCAAAAAAAAAAAAAATAGACTGTGGAGCAGTCTAAAATAGACAAACTGCAAAACACTTATCAAATAATTAAAAAAACACACACCCAAATATTTAAATATGTAGAAAACAAATAGTACTCAATTACAAATTATATTTCAAAATTTCATGCCCAGGACAGATGTACAAAAACATAGTAACATAGGAAGCATACAGGTGAAACTCAAAAAATTAGAATATTGTGGAAAAGTTCATTTATTTCAGTAATTCAACTTAAAAGGTGAAACTAATATATGAGATAGACTCATGACATGCAAAGCGAGATATATCAAGCCTTTATTTGTTATAATTGTGATGTTTATGGCATACAGCTGATGAAAACCCCAAATTAACAATCTCAGAAAATTAGAATATTAAATGAAATCAGCAAAATGAGGACTGCAAATAGAGCAATATTGGACCTCTGAGAAGTAGAAGCATGCACATGTACTCAGTAGTTGGTTTGGGCCCCTTTTGCATCAATTACTGCCTCAATGCGGCGTGGCATGGATGCTATCAGCCTGTGGCACTGCTGAGGTATTATGGAAGACCAGGAAGCTTCAATATCAGCCTTCAGCTCTTCTGCATTGCTTGGTCTCATGTCTCTCATCTTTCTCTTGGAAATGCCCCATAGATTCTCTATGGGGTTCAGGTCAGGCGGGTTTGCTGGCTAATCAAGCACAGTAATCCCATGGGCATTGAACCAGGTTTTGGTACTTTTGGCAGCATGGGCAGGTGCCAAAGTCCTGCTGGAAAATGAAATAATCATCCCCATAAAGCTCGTCTTTGGAAGGAAGCATGAAGTGCTCCAAAATCTCTTGGTAGATGGCTGCATTGACCCTGGACTTAATGAAGCACAGTGGACCAACACCAGCTGATGACATGGCTCCCCAAATCAACACAGACTGTGGAAACTTCACATTGGACTTCAAGCATCTGGCATTGTGTGCCTCCCCATTCTTCCTCCAGACTCTGGGTCCTTGATTTCCAAATGAGATGCAAAAGCTGAATCAGACCATTAGTGCATCTAGCTCAATATTGTCTACTCTATGCTAACTGGCAACAGCATTTTCCTAGCCTTACCTAGAGATGCATGCAAAGCAGCTACTCTACCTAGTCTATTAGAATAGGTTGGCCCAACTTTTCATATTAAGTGCGCTACAGGTGTACTTAGACACAGAACCCACAAGCCACACACTGCCTTGTCGTGCAAGGGGGAGAACAAGGCCAAAAATTTGACATGCCCCTCCCAGCCCTTGTGCTGCCTTTCCGAAAGGAGGTGTGAGGCTCTGGCAGGTCCTAGAGCCCTCTCACCTGCTTCCCAAAGTTGGGAAAGCACAAACTAGGCCTTGAGAAGGAGGTGGGAGGACTCTGGGACCCTGCCAGAGCCCTCATGCCTCCTTCCCAAATCACAGTGGCTGAGGGCCACTAAAAAGACTTCAAGGGCCACATGTTGAACTCCCCTGTTTAGAAGGATGGGAGCTAAAGTACAGCCTGCCCAACTGTAGTACAGTAGATGAAGCAAATATGTGGCCTTCCTCTAGATATGTGGAGCCCAGGACCATTGCGGCTTTGGAGGATAAAACCACCCTGTTGAACTAGTCCTGGAAGCCATTCAGCAGGCTGTTGAAAATGTTGGGGTGCAACTCAGCTTGCACTATAGGCTAATATACCTGCATGAAGAGGCTAGATAGAGAAGAACTTCCAGTTTTCCTAGACTGTCCTTGTGCTGATCTCAGGTGCTAGGCAGCTCATTTCCTACTTCCTACTTCTTAATTCTTAGCTTGTTAAAGGAGCGATCTTTTGTGTGCCCTCCTGCTCCTCGTATATTTCCATCTTAGCTAGAAATAACTTTCCTATCAAGTATAATGAATATACTATCCTGTAATGAACCTGGCTTTGTTATTTTCAAGACTCTCAGTGTGATTTTATCCAGGGTAAAGTGTGTTCTTTCAGCAGTGATTCAGTATAAAATTCAGCATCAGTACAGCCACCCCTGGTAAGGAAAGGAGTTGTACACGCTCTGAGGCTGCCTCCATTAAAAGTTGGACTTAAGAATTCTGCACAAGATGCAGGTTACAAATCAGAACAGTTCCACAAAGAGTAGTAAATTTCAATAATCAAAATGGAAGCGTATGAAAGAATGAATAATGGTAGAAAGTTCTGTATCCTGGACATTAGTCGGAACTGATCAGATGTTATCTCACCCACAACTGACACCTCAGAATCGAGTAACAAAGCTGATCAAATATCACATTTCTGCTGTGCATCTGACTGGATCTTTTCTGAAACCCTGGAGAGCCACTGCTATAGACAATACTGAGCTGAGTGGACCAGTAGTCTGACTTGCAAGGGAACTGTGACACATTTTATCAAAGGGGCTATTAAAACCAGACTCCTTCCTTCCAATATTTTTTATTATTATTTAAAAAGACACATTTTTCTCAGTGTGCCCTGACTTTATTCCCAGTGTGGTGTAGTGGTTAAGAGCGGTAGTCATGTAATCTGGGCAACTGGGTTCGCGTCTCCGCTCCTCCACATGCAGCTGCTGGGTGACCTTGGGCCAGTCACACTTCTTTGAAGTCTCTCAGCCCCACTCACCTCACAGAGTGTTTGTTGTGGGGGAGGAAGGGAAAGGAGAATGTTAGCCGCTTTGAGACTCCTGAAGGGGAGTGAAAGGCGGGATATCAAATCCAAACTCTTCTTCTCTTCTTCTATATAGTTAAGAGACTCTGCAAGACCACACCCAATTATATTATACTCATATTAAGAAGAATGACTAATAAACACATGATACCTGTTTATAACTAGAAACAAACTGAGATCTCCTAATCTGATATTGGCACACAAGGATGATGTCAACATTCTAACTGTATTTCCTGTTACTCCTGTTAAGGAAATGAATGGTGTCTCTTATCATAAAACAAGGTTGCTGGGCTACGTTCAATGTCTTTTTAGTAACATATAAAGCCCTGAACAACTCAGGATCAACTTGTCTGAAAGTTTGCCTGCCCCTGTATAGACCTATAAGGTCACTTAGATCATCTGGAGAAATTTAACTCATGGCACTGCAGTCTGCAGAATATCCCAGGGACACTGACCCGAAAACGGGAATTTTCTGCCATGGTCCCTGTTAGCTGATTTACACTTTTCATGAAGATTCAGCTATACAGTTGGGTGTATTCCTTGTCCTGGACCCTGTATTATCCATTGAGACACATGTGACTTCAGTGGCTAATAATAACTTTCAGCAACTGTCTGGAGAAGCGGACTTCACCTTTATTTCACAAGTGCTTATTATATAATGTTGCCAGGAGAACAAAGATCCCTTGCCAATTTATGAGTGTTTCCTTAGTGCACTTTGCTTCCAAAGGTTCTAGTTTTCCTAGTAGAGGAAAGCTAAGAAGAAGCCAGGCTGCACAGGCTCAAGGCAGAATCCCACCAAACATTTCTATTGACACAGACAAGGGAGTGGCTTCACCTGCTTAAAATTACCATGGGGCCTTATGGATAATGTAAACTCTCCTACTTTTACCTGGCTCGGATTTAATCAATGTCTCTTTGTATGCCAGTTGTTCAGCTTCCTGGAGCCCTTAATTGTAGAAAAATAGCAAATGCTCTTGAAGAAAGGTGTGGATACTGTTTCTGGTTGTATATTCCCCCAAATTATTCTAATACCATACCATATTATGGCACACCACAGCCCTTTGAGAACCACTGTGTTTGCTTATGGGCCATTTTTACTGGACTGACACTAAGTTAGTTTAGTTTAACCACCTTTCCACAAAAGTGGCTTACAACAATTATCCACTTATTATCAAAATACAAAAGACTGGAGAGAAAGGTGCATAGTTCTATGTAGTCTTAAAAATCAGCCTTGTGAGGTTTTTCACAGGACATGGAGAAGAAGCAAGATAACACTGTCCATTTTCATGAAATTTGTTTAGCTTTTTACACAAATGTTTCTCTCTTTTTCATCATGCAAATTACAACTCTAAAACTGAAACTCACAAGAGCTGACATCAATATTATTGTCAAGTAAATTTGGACAATGTAAATACCTGAGAAGCCAAATTTCAAACTGGATGAAAAGATAAAGCTTCATTCGCAGTATAGTAGTTCTGTTACATAACTTGGATGTGAAGTGCCTGTTGTAAACTGTTAACCTGTTCCAGCAAAGGAGATTTACCCCCTAGAAGGAGGCTATTGCATGCATCACTGCCACAGGTGAAAATTCTCATCCCTATCTGCATTCTGATGATTTTCCAGGTCCCATTGAACTGACTGCATGTAGCTTTTTAATCCAGATAACAATGCACAGTACCATCTGGGGTCACCTGGGGTCACTTATGCGGTTACTAGTTGCATGCAGCTACAACTGGAGCCTATATACATATTGTTCATTTCCTTCTGTCTCGAGAGACATTGCAATGTGCCTCCTGTGGTGAAGTCACACCTCTGCATTAGCAGCACTGAAGTGACCTCCCCAGAGCAGAAGCCTGGGCATGTATATGGAGGTCCTGGGCTGCCCAGATGACAAGACTTGGCTTTGCAGATGTAGCCCAAAGGCAAGGAGAGCAATACGTCTGGCACCAGCTTAGCTGCAGGAGTTGCCAGAAGGAGGCATACAAGGCTCTATCCAACCGTCTTAGGGACTCCACTCTGGATTTGTGTAGGGTTCACTCCTTAGCTTTTTCTTCTTCTGAAGATATCCCATAAGGCAGTGGAGGTTTAGGATCAGAGTTTTCCTTCTCCTAGATGGGCTACCCTCCCTGTCTGACAACCCCATCTGCCCCTCACTTCCCTCTACATCATGTGCAGAAAAGACCTTCCTGTTTACCAGCTCCACCTGGTACACAGACTGAGACCCTATCTGCCTGCAGACTGTCTTGCCAGAGTGGTGCATGCTCTGGTTATCTCCCGCTTGGACTACTGCAATGCGCTCTGTGTGGGGCTACCTTTGAAGGTGACCCTGAAACTACACCTAATCCAGAATACGGCAGCTAGACTGGTGACTGGGAGCGGCCTCCAAGACCACATAACACTGGTCTTGAAAGACATACCTTGGCTCCCAGTATGTTTCCGGGCACAATTCAAAGTGTTGGTGCTGACCTTTAAAGACCTAAATGGCCTCGGTCCAGTATACCTGAAGGAGTGTCTCCACCCCCAACGTTCTTCCCAGACGCTGAGGTCTAGTGCCGAGGGCCTTCTGGTGGTTCCCTCGCTGCGAGAAGCCAAGTTACAGGGAACCAGGCAGAGGGCCATCTTGGTAGTGGCACCTGCCCTGTGGAACACCCTCCCACCAGATGTCAAAGAGAAAACCAACTACCAGACTTTTAGAAGACATCTGAAGGCAACCCTGTTTAAGGAAGCTTTTAATGTTTGACAGACTATTGTATTTTAATATTTTGATGGAACCTGCCCAGAGTGGCAGGGGAAATAATAAATTATAATTATAATTATAATTATTCTACTGGGGTTGAGGTGGGGTGTTTCCATATAGTCAGAAGTACAACCCTTTTGGATTGCTTAGCTAGTTACTTAAAAGGCAAAGTTCTGGCCTAAAGCTGCAGAGGTGGTTAACACAAAACAGTTAACTGAAAAAGAAGAAAGAAATCGGATTTCATTGCAAATCACCACAACTGCCACTCATAGATCATGGATTAATAATTGAGATGCAGAAGCTGACAAATTCAGTCCTTCTAAAGAGGAAAGGAACCCATAAATACAATGGGTTTATCCCACCCACATAACTGGTATTTAACCATCTTTCAGAGAAAAGGTTGCCACTTACCTGCCTCTATACAGAAGATAAACCATACAACGGTGAGGAGAACACAGCCTTTCATTGTTGCAGTTGCTCTCTGCTAATCCTACAAGGAAATGTTTTCTCCCCTTCGGGTTAGTATATTTTAGATCATCGTTACCAGTCCAGAGGTCAACTTTTTATTGACGTCAGGACTGTGAATGAATTGTATCGCTTAATTTATGGCTGGTGCCTTACTAAATGTTGGGATGGTGCTTATGTATTACGCATGCTCCCAAAGACTTATGTAAGCAGGCATCCAAATTGATGGTGGTTTAAATACTGTTTTATTGGTAGTATATACCAATATTTTAGGTTTTTGTTGTTGTTATTTAAAAAAACACTTTATGAAGAAAGCAGGTATAATAGTGATTGTACCGCAGAGACTTTCTTTCTTTGTTTATGATTGGCATTGATGCCTGTAGGCTAGGGGAGCAGGAGCCAAAAGCAGTTCTGCTGGCTCACCTAGCAACTCCTCCAGGCTCTCAGCAGCAGGATGGAAGTGAAGTCATTTTCTATGCTGTGTGTAGGGTTGAGCCAATCTAATATTGCAATATTAGTGTGACATTTCACATTTGAAACATGCATTTGATATGTTAGTAAAAGTTATATGATTTTTCAGACCTTGGGCACATTCCTATCTTTTGCCTCTTAGGTGCTCAATTTATCCTGCATATATGATAAGGATTTTATTTCATTTATTTTTAATCTTATTCTAATTCGCTTGGGGGAGGAAGGATTAAAATGGAGAGCCCAATATAAAATTTCACCCTGAGTCCTGAAATCACCAGGTAGCAAACAGAAATAAAGAAAAAGAGAGAGTTGGAAGCAGGAATGAAATAATCTATTTCCTTTTTCTGAACTTGCAGCCTGTATTACACGGCCCAGTTGATTCTAGGCAGCAGGCAAGCAAAACAGAAGTTTACAAATAATTTCTGCTGATAGTAACGGTAAAAGCCTTGAGATTTTAAAACATATCCCTGCACCAGAGCATTATGATAAAGAATATTATACCCTGTCCCATAGCAGATTGAGTCTGGTAGGAAGTTTTTTTCCAAACACATGTCTTCTTGTAAAAGAAATTCCTCACTGGTGCAGAAATTCTGGTGCACATTTGTTGCTTCTCGACCTGCAAGGGCTCTCCCATCCATTTCAGTGAAGGAAGCAGGTCCATATGGGCCAGAAGTGCCTATCCACTAAGATGAATGTGCTATGGGGTGCATAAGGGACTCAGGATATCAGGGCTTGTGCCTGGAAGCACTTCTCTAAAGATTTTGTCAAAGTCTTGGTCATTTTGTCTCATAACCACCCTCCTATGTAAAACAAGAATTTAAAGTTGCTGCAACGAATTTCAAATCCGGATGAACATCCTAGAAAATTGTACACTGATCCATATGTTGCCTCTCGTGCAAATTATTTCCTGGTGGTTAAAGTCCAGGTTTTTTATCTCCAGGTTAAGCTTTCACAGACTGGAGCAGGTGTTTATTGCTATGAAACTAAGCTCTACTATTTTTTGCAGCTATCCAAGTATTGGTTTTGTTTCCTTGTACTACTTAGGACCTTGAACTCAAGATGAACTGCCCTGGAATTAGGTGCTCCATTTATTTGCAATATTACAGTGGTACCTCAGGTTAAGTACTTAATTCCTTCGGGAAGTCCGTTCTTAAGCTGAAACTGTTCTTAACCTGAAGCACCACTTTAGCTAATGGGGCCTCCTGCTGCCGCCGCGCCGTTGGAGCATAATTTCTGTTCTCATCCTGAAGCAAAGTTCTTAACCTGAAGCACTATTTCTGGGTTAGCGGAGTCTGTAACCTGAAGCGTATGTAACCTGAGGTACCACTGTATATTGACACTATTGTCATAGACCAACCTTTGCTCACCTGAAAGCCTTGTAAGCCTACTGGCTGGGACTGGCAGAAGTTGTCCAACCATCAGGAGAGCACCAGGTTGGCAAAGGTTTGTGTTTGCAACCAAAAGATGGGTCGGGGCATTCAGGAGAAACTGCTGCGGAGAAGTGACTAGTGAGGATGGGCTGGGAGAGAGAAGGTTATGTACAAAGATGACTTTAACACCTTCTCCTACCTGCTGCTTTTGCATAGATATTGCATCCTCCGTTTTGCTCTGGTGGAGCATTGTTCACTGACACCCCTGAACTTAAAAACTTCCCTGCCAAGAGAGGTTGGTCTTGCTTCCTGCATTTTGTCTTTCCACTTCAGGAACTTAATAAAGATTAAGATCTTTAGAGGCTGGGAAACTAGTTTTTAATTCATTGCCTACTGTAACTATACACAACCCTTTGTGTTTGCTCTTATTTGCTCTTTTCGCATTGTCTTTTTATTATGCTTTACCTATTATTTAAAATATTTCTAAACTGCCCCTCACCCAGTCAAATTCTGAGGCAGAGAGAACAATGGGCAAGAATAAAACGATCCACAGCAAATGCAAACAATAAAACACCCCAATTCATAACAGCAAAATAAGAGGCAGTCACTTGACTTATAAAGCACACTGAGGTGTGCTTTGTTATGCTTCTTACTGTTTTGTGGTGGTTTGCTTCACATAGTGTCAGGGGTTCAGGAGCAGAGGCAAGGGCAAGGGAGGAAACAGAGAGCGAGGGGGAGGAGGCAGAAGAAAAGATGAGTGATGACGACGACCCGAGATCTCCAAGTCTTTCCAGTGAATCAGAAGATTCACAGAAAGGAGCACCAGTGGCCAGGGCGAGGGGGGAGCCTAGGGGGACACCCCAGGAAGATAGAGCTAGAGGGGACTCAGAGGGGAGCAGTTGGAAATCGGGACCAGCGTCACCGCCAGAGAGCAGGGAAGAGGAAGGGCGCCAGGGAGCAAGCGCTGGCAGCTCACAACAGGGGGGAGGGCACGAGTCAGGAGTGGCCACACCTCCATCGGGGAGCGAAGAAACGGTCAGACGGAAAGTGGAAGGTTGGGCGCGCGCGCGCCAAGTTCAAATGCACAGGAAGGTGGCGCAGTAGGCAGCCCGGAAAGGGAGCCAGGTCCTAAAGCCCGGCGCAAGGAGACAGGAGGGTCCGGGGGGTCGGCGTCAGAAGAATCCCGGAAGGAAGAGACCCCGGGGGGCAGAGGGACCCAGAGAAGAACAGTCAGGCGGAAAAGGTGGAGCAGGGCTAGGATATTAAGTTGGTGTACAAGGGGCGGAGACTCAGACGGAGCTTCGCCGGTCTAGCCATAAGACGTAGAGTTGCACGCAGCAGCTTGAGAATGGAAACTGTAACTCAATAAAGACTTTTATTTAATGATCGCTGGCTAGCGTGATCCTCTGTGAGCTAGGATCTGGAAGCAGCTCTGACACATAGTGTTGTATTTTACTGTTTTGCAAGCAGGTTTGAACTTCATAAAGGAGAGATTTAAATCTTCTTTCAATAAATCATTCCTATTGAAGAACCATGGTTGCAATAGGCCTACTGTCAACAAAAAAATGATTATATAAGAAAAATATAGATTTAAATAAATCAGATAGTTGCGTCTCACGTGATCAATTATTTTTGATAAAACTTTAATACAACTTGAGCATGGACAGACTATCTTCCCTGAAGAAGCCAGCAGAAAACAGGTGCACCTAAATCCCACTGTAATAAGTGCATTTTTTTCTACTGGATTTAATAGACCAGGAATGTAAGCCTGTCTAATTATGCCTTACGTCGTTGTCCTAGGCTATAAGAAGCTAGTAAACCACTGTGTGCAGCCTCAGCTCAGAATGATCTGGAAGACCAGTTCTGATCATAGGCTCAGGCTCCTGGGGGCCAAGGCATTTTGGGCCCCCTCAATATATATTTTTTGGATGGGCTGCTCCCCCCCCCATTTTTACTGTAAGGTTATGATTATGAAAAAAGCACCTGTTCTCATTTTCTGAATGTATAATATACTTTTCAAATATGGATTTTACAGCTACAGTAGATTTGCCAACTTTTATAACCAGAATGCACCTGCTTATTGAAATACGATCTCCCCTGCCTTTTCAGGAGGCCTAGAATATTGAGGTAGAGAAAAACCTGTTGTAGCCATTACCTATCAAACCTTTCAGTGGAGACGTTTGAGAAGTGTATTATTTAACTTTTCTCCATATGCAAACTGAGATGCGGATGCTGTCTTGTTTGCACGTACCAATAAAAACTCAGGTTCAGAATATAATTAATACTTTTATTGTATCATTTTTATTACACTGACTAGAACGCCAGAAATCAAATATTTGGATGCTGGTATAAAAATAATCCAAACTTTATACTTTATACTTTGGAACTACAGTACTGTATAATTAGTGGAGGCTGCAAATAGGATACTCCTTTAAATAACACTGTGTTGGAAACATAAAATAAACAAAACATCTCAGAAGTTATGTTCACAGCTATGCAAAGCTGAAATCCAGAACAAAGTACAATAGACAATTGCAAGTCAAACTGACGGTACATTCAGAGTCATTATGAAAAAACACAAACAAGGCTTTATCCATCTTGTCTGAAAGACATGGTAGACATCACATACATTTTTGACTGGTAAAGATGAGAGTGACTTCCTATTTTGCAGTCCTGCCAAATTTAGTTGTTGCTGTTTTAATGGAAGAAAGCAAAACAAAACAAAACCCTTAGCAGATTTCATTTAACAACCAACAACACTGTAAAGAAATATAATATATTGGATGTTGTAAGAGCATTTTCCTCCCAACATTGGACAGAATGATATAGCAGAGATAGAACTCTCTAATAAATGTTGTAAGCTTTCTAAAGTTTGTGCAACATTCCATAGGCCTTCCTATGAAACAACTGACCACGAGGTCTCAATAATAATTTAGGGAACATTCCAACTCTCTGCATCCCCCCCCCCACCTCCATCCTGGCAGAGCTTTATGGAATAGCAGAGCCCACCTCCTCAGCTGCAGTCCTGCTGCACACAGTGGTGAGGATGGCAGGTGCTGGGGCAGCATCTCAGGCTAGCTCAGCTCCGCCCTCCCCCCAAAAGTCCAGTTTGGGGCTTTGTGCTGGCTGCTGGTGGTGAGGATGTTGCTGGCCGGCAGAAGAGGAGCTCTGAAGGTGGCAACCAGCAGGAGGCCAGAGGAAGGACACTTCCGCCCAGTCCAGCCACCAGCCCAGCACAAAGGGAGGTTGAACTGCTCTGTTATGCTGCAATCCTAAGCCCACGACCTGGCAGTAAGCTCTACTTAATTCAATAGGACTTACTTCTGAGCCGATATGGTTAGGGTTGCTCTGTTATATCTGAACAAGAATCCCAAACACATGACCATTTTTGACTACAAACTTAAGCCTCTATCCCACTAGGTCCAATGGGACTTCGGTCACATAACTGCGTAGGCTCATAATCGTGATTATTTTTGCAAAATACTGTAGTGTCAAAATATTGCAGACTTTCCCCCATTGTACTACCCATCACAGATTTCAGTATCTCACTGTCACCAAATATAATAAAATATTAGCATAACTGATTTTCCAATTAGTAACTATGACATGCTTGTTCATTTCTACTAAATAAATAAATGTTTTGAACTCCCCTTTATACTGTTCCTCTTGTTGTTGCTTCTTCTATGTGGCATCACAGTGGGACTCTGCAGAGCTTCCACCAAGGACACTTTACTATTCACTTTTGAATCCACAGCAAGTTTGACCCTAAGCATCTTAGGAACTGTAATTTGTTCAGAGTACTGAGAATTCGCTCTCTCGTAAGAAATTCCCAGTTCTGTACACAGAACTACAACTCCCAGAGTTCCTTTGGCTGAGGTAATGATTATTCAGCTAGTCTGTGGGCTGGTTTGCAAGTCACATTAAATCATAGTTAAAATAAAGTTAAAAGTCATTAGGTGCTCCACTGCCACTCCTTGTCTTCTACTCAAAGGGAAAACAAACCAGAGGCTTGCTTCCTGCTACATGCAACCCAGCCCTCGTGATGGTAAGCTAATAACAAAGATTTATCCCTTGAGGTCCACGTGACCTCAGAGGTAGGAATGCCCATGCCCAGTTTTGGCTGGTGCACCAATTACAATTATTTCTGGACAGAGATAGCTTGGCCACAGTTATGTATGCCCTGGTGTGCATAACTGGTTGAACTATGTGGGACTGTCCTTCAAAATGGGCCAGAAACAACAACTAATGCAAATTGCAGCAGCTAGACTGCCAATAGGTATCTGGAAAAGCTCATACAGGACACTAATTTTGAAACAACTACAAATCTTCCAGGCCATAGTTAAGGTGCCTGTGTTAGTAATTAAAGCCCTTAACGATCTGGGTCCCAAGTATCTAAAATAATGTCTCTTTCCATATCTTTTTCCTTAAGGTGGGGACCCATAGTTGGGCCTTCTCAGGGGTAGCCCCGTTCCTCTGGAGCAATCTCCCCTCTGAAGCCTGCCTCACCACCACATTGTTGTCATTTCAGTGTTGGGCTTTCTCAGGATTTTAGGGAAGGGTCAGGTACATTGGGATTGGATTTTAATTGATGCTGCTGTTTTATTTGTATGGAATTTATTTGTATGGCTTTATTATTACTAATTTCAGTTTCAGTTCTGTGTAGTCCTGCCCTGGGGCCTTTGGGTGAAGGGCAATCCATAAATAGGGTAAATAAATAAAATAAATAACAAATAGACTTTGGATAACCATTGTGGCTGGTTAGGTAGGAAAGAAACAATACACAAGTGCTTGTTGGCACTTAATGGGAAGCCGGCCTCCATGGTGTTTCCTCCTCCAAGCGGGAAAGGAAATAGTAGTGGTGGAGCACCACAAGTGCTCACTTTAAACCATAGTTTAAACTATGGTTTAAAGGGATGCTTGGACGAGGCCTGTAATAGTAAGATTATGACAGAAAGCGTTGAAAGTTTTTACGGGTGTTTGGCAACTGTTTGTCAGCTACACCTTTCCATAAAAGTGGGCATAGTTATGGGTCATTCCCCTTGCCATCCAAAGCAAAGGTCCTGATCCAAAGATTCCTCCCATGAAGGGAATATGGCTGAACATGTGCTGCTTCATCTAGATTTCTGTGTACACACCCGCCAACCAGATGGCTGGCAGTATCAGCTCTGTTATAGCTGGACTGCACTGACCATCTGGGTATAGCTCCCCCGCCTTTTCTTTCACCCCACACGTGAATCATCCTTGCCAGATCAAGGTGAACAAACTCCATTTCGCATCCGGCTTCCTTGTGTGGCAATGCAAGATCAGTCTGTGGAAAACACCTGATGATTAATTTTACATTTGCGGGGGGGGGGGAGCTTTTTACAGTACAAAGTACAACCTGAAGCAATTTGCAATACAGAAAGCAGTAAAGTGACCTGAACACAGCTGATTTTTTTTAAAAAATAGAAATATTGTTCCCAAATAATTTCAAAAAGCAGAATAGGTACAGCTAGAGTAAGAGGAACTAGACTACTCAGGATATTTTCCCCAGTCCTTTTCTGCTTGCAGAAGTGGTTGCTGCAGTTAAGCTTGTGAATTTAGCCGTTATACAGAATGGTATCTTAGCCTATTCTATGACTAATGAAATCTGAGGTTGGAGCCTCGAAAATGTCATGGACTATAGTTACAGCTGAACTTAATTCATAAGATAACATGGTCACAGAGGGTAGTTTTATCCATGGCAATTAGCCTATGTATTCAGAAGTGGTACACAGACAGTGTATGTCTCTCCCACTCTCTCATTCTCCCACTCTCCTTTCTCTCCCACATCCTTGGATTATTTCCTTCTTTTTTGTGCCTTCTGGTGAAGTGCATCCTTTTTCACAATTCTGAAGTGGTTGCTATGGGATACAGGAGTGCAGGACAAGAAACACCTCTGGCCTGACCCAATCTTCCCCCACTCACCCAATCTGAAACAATCACATGCCGCTCTGCAGGCTAGGTCTCTCACTATTAATCACTGCCTCCAAATCCTTCATGATTAAGCTGCAAGCGTCACCACTCAGCCACCCTGCAGCTTCCTGCACACTGTACAAAGTCCTCTTTTCTCATAAAACCACACCTTCTTTAGAACATTCAGAGAGCAAAAGTTGTTTTGCATTAGGAAAAGCCATACACAAGAGAACTTGGGTCCGGGTTCAACTACATATGATGCCAATCCCACTTAAAATGCTTCCTGGTTGCTTTCTTCCACGGCTGCCTGGATAAAAGTTAAGCCATCTTCTCTACTATATCTTATCTCCACGATATGGAATGGGTCAGGGCTAGCCTTGCAGGTGGGGAAAAGTGTTGCCAGGGATTGGGAAATCCTAAAATAAATAACTATGGGAGGTGAGCTATTTAGTGTTGCAGTGGGTGAACACCAGGTCCCTGGTTATGTGGATGGGAGGAAGAAAGGCAAAAGCACGTTTTTCTTCAGCAGCAAAGGGATGGACATTTTGAAAATGACAAAAAATAAATAAATGAGAAGATGTCTTAGGTTACAACTCAAGACACCACAAAAGGGCATTCTAGTATGCCCTTCCTTTTCCCATATGGAAGAACATGGTTCTGGGGCCAACCACAATTTACAAGTGACTTGGAATCCTGGTTTAAGTGCTAGTAAAGGACAATGAGTTAACCAAAGGGAAAATTTGAGTTGGTAAGCTGGTTGTATGCCGTTTAAAGCAGCTCTATTAGCTCAACCTCTTGTGGGGTTTAGTCTGGTAGCAGCAGTGCACTGAACAAGCACAGTTTGTTGGTCTCATATCACGGTGATTAGCCTAGCTAAACTAAAAGTGAACAGTCAGCTGCCTGTGAAATTCAACAAGCATCCCAACCAAATTTGGGGGCACATGTTGTGGCACTTCAGGTATTCTCAGCCAGAGTTTCAGATTCCTATCACTTTTTCCTCTTCTTGATCTGATGATTTCAGGATTTTATTTTCTGAGCTCAAATTTCAGATACTGTAAACCTGAATATCATTTAACACCCCCCCCATTTTTACTGGGGGCAATCCTCACCCACCATTTGGTTACACACACACACACGTGTGGTTCTATAGTATGAGACCAGCATACATAATCAATTCACTAAGAGTTCACGGAGAAGAAAAAATTCATGGCTGGAGAAGGCATGGGCATGGGGCAATGATTACTCTTCATGAGACAATGGTCAATAATAAACTGGGGGCAAACAGAGGGCAGGAGCAAGCACCATTGCAACTGAGTCAATACACAACTGAATGACAAGACAGGAAATAAGAAGATGCATTATCCTAAGAAAAGAAAAAGGACCCTGAACTTTGCACATTACACATAGAACTCCCATCCTTAGACCACATTGCCATATGCATCCCCAGCATTCTGTGGCTATCTCATCAGTACCCATTAATAGATACCTGGTGACAGAGAAATGGTTCTTTCCATAAAATCCACTCAACGCAGCTTTGCATAAAACGTGGGAAACGCAAACACAGCACTAGTTGTTAACTGTAAACACAACACACATTACTGGCGTTAGATTTAGAGTGTCATCCACAGTATTTGTTAGCTTTGCTTTAGTGATCTACTATCAAATTCACATTATGTGACACAATTAGTGATAAGGAAAAGATGCAGAATGTACACACAGGAACTCCTTTAAGCTTCTCCCTTGCCTCTTAGACAGGCCTGTGTGCTGACTTGCTCTTTACACCTGCCTTCCCATTGCTGTTCAACAGCAGCTACAAATGGCTCCTTTCGGACAACCCTGTTCAGTATCCTCCAAGGGTTCAAAGTTTCCTTTCTGTATACAAACTATGCCAGCATCTGAGCTGTATAATTAATGTGTACCCAGAAAACAATTAGCAGGCAATGGCCGATGTTCCATTCACTTTCCCATGTCTCTCCTGCAATTCCATTAAAAGTAATCTCTTCTTCTGCTGTCATCACTAACAAAGGAAGGATTGTATTGGCCAGGGTAGATGCAGGAGTGTCGGGATCCCGGAAGACCTGTGTAAGGTGGGTACAGCCCGTTTCTTTCTAGTTCAGGGTTCCTTGGGTTGGTTGTCTAGAAGGGTAAGACATGGACACAGAAAGGAAGGGGGAAAATGGTTCAATAGTCAGCACTTATCCTTTCTGGGATTTTAATAATAATACATGAAGGTACAAATGCTTCCAATAGATAATATGCTCTTCTAATAGAGATTAAGCAGATGTGTTCAGTAATAATTGTTTGGGCATTCTAGGCCACCACTGAGGAAAAAAATAATAGCTGGCGATCTGTTTGGGTTTTATGTATATAATGCACTGCTTCGAAATTTTCGATGGAATTGTGGTATATAATTTTATACACACACACACACACACACACACACACACACACACAAATAGATAAACAACATTATCATGAAATTAAAACAAAAATCAGAGCATAGAAGCAGTTACTATTATTATGTCTATATACTGCCACCATGCATGACAAAGGTAAACACAGTAATATCTCTGAATCCCTCTTTTCACTTTTATTTCTCATTCTCTTCCAAACCAAAAATCTGGAATGCCAAAGCTTTGGAAACAGAATTATACCAATCAGATGCAACCTAGGAAAATATATTGCTGCCCAATACTTCCTTAGCATACCGGAAAGCAAGCTTCTCCCACAAGTTGTCACTGGCATGAACAAATCATAGCCATTGCAACCCAGACCAATGAGTACATAGAAAATACAGCACATCTGTTTTGTACTCCGATGCACATGTAGATATTATGGAGAACGCCTCCAGGGCAGCTATTTTGGGTGAAGCACAGCCAGGTAGGAATCAATGATGTAGGAGATACAGTATGCTGCTATCATTGTTATATGACTGCTAATCCCAGAGATTATAAAATGAAGATAAAGAAGACCTGGATACAAATTTCCACCCAGCAATGAAGCTCATTTGATGAACTTGGGCTAATCATTCTCTCTCAGCATAACTTAGCTAGAGAAGGGTGGATTCCATTGATTTATTGGGCAAAGGGGAGGCTATGAAGGTAATGAACAATATTCCTGGCCCTACCCAAGGCCAAGATCTTAGTAATCTGTCATACTAGAGAGACAAAGACATCACTGTTGGATGTTATAGGGATTGTTACATCATAATTCATGTACTATTTTGATGCTATAGCAGCTGTATGCTCTGTGGCAGCCTGTAGAAGGCGCGCCTACCTGCATGCATAGACATAGTTTTGCCACTAGGTGGCAATGGACTCAACTGGAGCTAGGTGAAGTCGAACGTTTCCTGTGTCTGTTCTGTTCTTTATGGAGAGAGACAATAAAGTTCTCATTCAGCTTAAACCTTCCATGGCAAGATCGGCATATGAGGCCTGCAGGAACATACACTGACTGCACAACAGCCCCTGCTCAAAACCAATTATCTTGACTGTAACCTTGGTTATATATCATTGAGTATATAACCTTTAGACTTTTGTTAAAACGCACATGTACAAGCTGAGAATTAGTTACCATATAGTAAACATCTGTCATCTGTAGTAGGTTTTTAGTGCTCCCATTCTCTTGCATTTCAATGGTTTCTCTCCCCCAGTCTTGAGCTCGAGGGTTTTTGGGATACTCAGCATATGGTGACATCTGGAAATCTCCACTTTTGAAGATGAGTTTGCTTATGTCATTTTTATTCTTCCTGGGATAAAGAAAGAAAGAAACATTTATATGCAAACCATATGAAAAGGACAGGAGATAGCTATAAAACTCCCATGCATCTTTTTCATAACCATAAGAGAGCCAGTGTGGCATAGTGGTTGAACTTGGATGAGGGAGACGCAGATGCAAATCCTCACTGAACTCATTGAATGTCCTTGGGCCAGTTGCTCTATCTTTCTGCACAGCCTTGCTTACAGGGGTGCTGTGAAAACACAGTTATGACTGGGGTGGGGAATAGGGGTATGCAGATATGTTTCCACATATGTTTGAATTTTCTTTTTAAAAAACCTCATGAAACATCATAGTTTTACTGCAAATTTCTCATATTTTTTGCTATGAAATGTTGCCTAGTATAGTGGTACCTTGGGTTAAGTACTTAATTCATTCCAGAGGTCTGTTCTTAACCTGAAACTGTTCTTAACCTGAAGCACCACTTTAGCTAATGGGGCCTCCTGCTGCCACTGTGCCGCCGGAGCACAATTTCTGTTCTTATCCTGAAGCAAAGTTCTTAACCCGAGGTACTATTTCTGGGTTAGCGGAGTCTGTAACCTGAAGCGTATGTAACCTGAAGTGTATGTAACCCGAGGTACCACTGTATACTCATTTTTGCAAAGCCATTTCATTGAATATAAGCACATTTTGCATGTTATTTTCATGGATATATGCATTTCCATGCACAGTTGACCCCTTCATGGATCACTGCCTTGTTGTGGCAAAGGGGCTTGAATAACTCAAAGAAGCTATGAGCTATGCCATGCAGGGCCACCCAAGACAGACAGGTCATAGCCCAGAGTTTAGACTAAATGTGATCCACCTGGAGAAGGAACTGGCAAACCACTCCAGTATTTTGCCAAGAAAACTCCATGTACATAAAAAAGGAGAAGCTTTGAGAAGAAAGTGAGTGTTTCCAAGGCATGCTCTGGTTCATGGGGTCACGGAGAGTCGAACATGACTAAGATGACTAAACAACAACACTGTTGACCCTAGTGTATGTGTTTTTGTACGCATTATTTGGCTAGAGAATTGCATCACAAAATTAAGGAAAATTTCTTTGAAAGATAGCTGTGTTTCATTTCACGTATCATTTCAGAAAGTGCTTACTAAGTAAGTTTGCCTTAAAATGCAAAGTGCATCAAATTTATCTTCCATCCTTAGCAGGGAGTCAGATACTACACTGCTCTAGTATGCTTTTCGGACAAATGGTGGTGTTGGTGGGGAAAACAGTGACAATATCCCCCCCCCTTTTTTTTTTGAAAAATCAAAGAAGCTTCTGCCAGATCTTACTTGTGCTTTTCAGTATTTGTGATATCTGTCAAATACCGCCAAAACATTTATCTTGATATGGTTGATATACAACTCTGAATCATTTGGACATTATTAATTTTTGCACAATCACAAGAAACATTTTAAAGGTGCAATTTCATTCAACGAAAGTATAATCAATAGATAAACAATTTCCCCATGATGGGTATTTAGCGTTTTATTTTAAAAACAGGCACTTGGCTTAGGATACCTACTGGCAGCACGTGACAATGAGAGCTATCGCCATGATGAGCAGAAGTCCCCCTCCAGCTGCTGCGATCACAATGGTGATGAGCTGATACGCTAAAGCAAAGAACAGAAACAATATTGCTTCAATGGAAAATTGTTCATCTTTTATGTATAGGCAATAATGTGAAACTGTCACCTTCTTGATGCCTGTAAAGATTCCCTTATCTATAACCTCGGAGATGCTCTTATGTCATGGAATGCCTACAAAGCCACCATCAGGTATGGGATAAAGATTCACTGATGTAGCTTAGCTTCTTTGACAGAACTGGAAAAACTAGTTAGCCTATGAGGAAATGCTCACACAGAGACAATTAACAGGTACTAGTTGATATACACATATTTTACATATTTTGAAACGTCTGAACTCATTGCTGGCTGGTTTACGGATTCAATTCAGTATGCTGTACTGGTTTTGTTTTGACATATAAAGAACTAAATTGCCTGGCTTCAAATTACCTCACAGAAATTCTCCTTCTGTATGAATCCTCCCACCCAGACAATGAAGAACTTTCAACAGGGCCTGCTGAAAGCACCATTTTACACTGACACCACGTTAGCTTTCAGTTGATGAAGGCCCTTCTTTGCTGTGGCCCAAGTACTCTGGAATGGCCTCTGAAAGAAGTCTCATAAGGCTTCCTCTCTGTATTCCTTCCAGGGACAGGGTGAGCTCTCTTTTTCACAATGTCTAAAAATTAGGTTTGATAATTTTTTTCTGTTCTGCTCTATTTGTACAGATCCGTTAATACTGCTTGCTTAGACATCTGTTGGTTTTAAATGAATGGTTTTTAATGTGCTATAATTTGACTGCCTTTAAAGCCTTGGTCATACACTGTTTTGGAAATCTATTGTTGAAAGACCATATAACTTATTGAAAGAAAAGCAAAACCAGTTTGGGAGTTAGAGCTGCTAGACCAGATACTCACGATTCCCACAGCTGAATCCTCCTAATCCAAATGGGCAACTGAAACAGGGGAAAAAAAAATTCCAATCAATTAAGTGTTAATTGAACCAATATGAAAGTGATCAAAATGCATTAATGGCTGGTGATGGCAATGAGCAGGAGGGAAAGGAATGCGAAACAAAGAAAACAGATTTCTATAATTAATTTACTGTACCTCACACAAGTGTCATTCACAAGTTTATACCCATCTTCACAAGCTAAAAGAGAAAGAGAATGTCCATGAGCACATCTCAGAAAGATAATTGCTGGTATCCAAATAACTACTTTAGGTGAACTCGGTGCAATTTTTTTTTTTTTTTACATCCCTGCCCACGTTAAACAGCAAACGCCTGTGAAAAACTGCTTTTGAAGTTTCAAAAGTGGGTTTCCACTGGGTATGGCCAGCAGCTGCTCTTCAATCAACACAAGCACATCTTGGGTCGTCCAGAATCAATTGCACCATTCTGTTACATTCTGGCCAATAAATATGCACAATCAGTAGTGGCTGGCAGGGTGGTGTGGATGGGACCCAACATTAGTGAAGAGGGAGTTCTAACACAAGCCTGGTTCAAACCTTGGTTCAGCTCAGCTTAGAGAACCAGGGAGGAACAGAGTGGCGGAGAGTTCCTCTCAAGGATCCAGCACGTTTATTCAGTCTCCCTAAGGCACAGTTTGGCTTTCCATGTAGTGTGGAGCAGCTTACAGAAAGAGTGAGGGAAAGCAGTGAGTGAAGACCTTGAAATATGAACTTTCAATTTTTCACCAACTGACATTGAATTATGTTTTATTGAAGTTTTTAATAATGTTTTTATGGATACATTTTGCTGATTTGATTCTTCTATGTTGTATACCCCCTTGATATATTCTGACAAAAGTGTGGATTACAAACAGCGCAAATAAATTAATAAAAATAAGAGAATACTAGGCAAGAAACTTGATGCATTTAAACCAGTTGGCCAGTGGAGGTCACTCTTAACACACAGCAATGCTGCATATGAAAAGACTTGCAGCGGTGTCCACATTTCACTCAAATGCATCTTTAACCAAAAGCAGCCTGTGCGGACAGCAGTGTTGAGCAGAGGAACAGGGGTAAAGGTGGGGAGGGGAGGAGGCATGGGCTGGGCGGTATCAGCTTTAAACATAGCAGTTTGGCGATCTACCGTGATGTTGAAAAAACAAGATGCATTGGCCTCTGCCTATGAGACACCAGGTGAAACTGCCCCAGCTCTCACCTCCAGAGCTGAGATGGTTTTTCCCAGGGCTGCAGGCTGGGACAATGCAGCTTGTTCATGCAGCTCAGCTGGGGGGAGGGAACTCCCCCCCCCCCCCCCGCTGAGATGGCTTGCGGAAACCAGCTCCTTTAACTGCTCAACTGAGGCAAGGGCAGCTGCACACTCCTCCATCGAGCAGTTTAAAGATGCAGAGGGAGGAACAGGCTGCATCGGTGGCTCCGTTGTATGAGTACAGAGTGGGATGGCGATTACACTCAGCGATATATTGGTGGTGAAACTGCCAGCGCTCCTGAGTCCCTCTGCTAGCAGCGCCAGCTGGAGGAAGGAACTTTTGACTCCCTCCAGTGGAGACAGCTAGCAGAGGGACTTGGGAGAGATGGTGGTTTCACCTGCGGTATACAGTGGTACCTCGGGTTAAGTACTTAATTCGTTCCGGAGGTCCGTTCTTAACCTGAAACTATTCTTAACCTGAAGCACCACTTTAGCTAATGGGGCCTCCTGCTGCCGCCGTGCTGCCGGAGCACGATTTCTGTTCTCATCCTGAAGCAAAGTTCTTAACCTGAGGTACTATTTCTGGGTTAGCAGAGTCTGTAACCTGAAGCGTATGTAACCTGAAGCGTATGTAACCCGAGGTACCACTGTACTGCTGAATGAAGCAGACATCACGGTCTGCTCCTCATACCGATCCTGGGCAATATATCGATATATTGCCCAGGCCTAGAGGAGGCTTTCGCCTCTTTGATTATGATTCCCATCATCATCCCCTTCATGGTATATAGGCACACTTAACTTTTCCTTTTCAGGGGGAAGAGGGGGGAAAAAGAAAAAATGTCCATGAGAACACCTCAGTAACAGAGAATATATATATATATAGAGAGAGAATGAATACATTAGATATCCAAAAAACTACTTTAGATGAACTCAGTCTAAATCAGCTGGGAGTGATTTTGAATTTGTTTTTTAATGGCTAAGGGCAAAGGGTTTAAGTATCATCACTATTCCTTTGCTCAGTGTCTCAGGGTTATATCCAACACTGAGTGGGGAGTTCCACTTTTGCAGTGGGACGTCCCCTTCTCCTTTCCCTATGTACCCTCAAAATCTGATCTCCAAGCCTCTGGAGCAGATTTTGAGGGTGCTCAGGAGACTGCAGGGCAAAAGGACGAAGAGGAGTTCTGTTGTGCAAAGTGAAGTCTGCTGCTCTAGTGGGATAGCAGCACTGGATACAAACTAAGAGTTTCCAGAGGCTGTTTTTGGTTTACAGATTTACATGTCGTTTCCGCCTAATGGCACATATTTAGCATTCACAAGGTCCCAGAAGGCATAGGAAACGAGAGGCAGAATGCATGCTTTGCATTCAGAAACTCCCAGGCTGAATCCTTTGCATCTCTGGATAAAATGATCAGTTAGCAGGTAACGTGAAAAACCAGTCCCTAGGACCCCAGAGACCCACTGCTATTCAGGATAGACAATGCCCGGATAAATGGAGAAATAGCCTGATGGTATAAAGCAGCTTTCTATGTTGTTTCTAATACTTTAATCTGTGGCATTCCTGTGGATTAATAGTGACCTCTGCTAGTCAACTGGTTTAAATCAATGCTGAACCAAAGACCCATCCCTGTACATTTCAGGGGGTTTAAGGGAATGAGGCCAAACCCATGCCAAAGACTGGGGGAGGGTGAACATTTGCAATGGGAACAGCAAAAGTTCAGGAAACTTTTAACAAGTAGTGAGGATTTCCTCCTCTCCCCTTCCACTGAACAAACCTGAAGCACTGCTGCAAGTTCAGCAACAGTGTGGAGTGAGCAGTGGAGCCTGCATTGTCGTTCCTATGCAAATACAGGGCTTTCAATGCTATCTGTTTAAATGCTGCATTTCATCTTTATGTTATAAATTAATGGATTCTGTTATTTATTTAGTGGGGCCAAAATTCAGATTGTATTTTCTATCTTTAGTTTTCAAGGAGATGGCAATCCTCTTTGATTGTTATTGGTCACATTTATACGTGGTCTACAGAGCTTAATAAAGATAAGGAAGGTGGGAAAAGTGAAATATGAAACTCGGTTGCAGCTTTCCAGCTAAGTTTTGCTGGAGCCCACAAGGCTAAACAATTTGCACACAGTGATTTTAAGTTAGGCCCTACACGTTCCTTATTGGCAAACAATTATGTGGTGTTCCAGCTCTGCCCTTTATGTATCATCCATAAAAGAGACCCCTCTACTATTCAAGTGAGCAGCTTAGAACAGTGGAATGAGCAAGTTAAATAAATTGCTGCTATGCTTGATGGAAGGCGGGGGAGGTCTGGCAACTTGCCTCCATCCCTCTGAGAATGTATAAAGCGTTAACTCCAAAACATGCTATTATCTGAAAGCCAGAAACCACTTTTTCCCCAACACTGAAACACATCTGGATATTTTTTCTGCTGTGCAGTGAACCCAGCCACCCACCGTGTCTAAACACAACCATTTTCAAAATGCAGGACACATCAACAGAACGCTTGAGATCCAGAACTCAAGACAGATAAACAGGCAGGTAAATCTGCATCTGTTAGACAAGTACAGCCAAAGTTTAGGTTGATTTTCATGCAGAAAATCTCTGGAACCAAATGGCACTATAAACTTGGCAGGGAAGCTCCTTATTAAGAGTTGGCAGCGTGTTGTTCTTCACCAGCCAGCCAGCCAGCCAGCCAGCCAGCCAGCCAGCCAGCCAGCCAGCGCCACTTTCTCTCTCTACTGTTCCCTGACCCTGCATAAGACCCTGCATACACTCCTCATTCACTCGCTTGCCCTGGCAGGACTTCAGAAATCTAGCTCTGGCTCCTCCCCAGGTGCCATGAACTCCTGAAAATTGCCAACAAAGAGGGCATCCTGGACCATAATTCAACCATATCTCCCAGTTTTGCTGGGATTACTAATGTAGGTATCCCCAGAGCTGGTCAAGGACACAGCTGTTGCTTAATGGGGCGCTTGCGTAGGAGTTCCCAACCAATCTTGAGTGCTGCAGAATTTAAGTTAAACCAAACTTGGTGTTGCTGCACTTAACTCTGGCCTGCTCTGGTCAAGAGAGGTTCAGAGGCTGTAGTCTGGAGCAAGTGGAACTGCATGTTGTCCAGTTTGTGGCTGCTGCCAGCAAATGACTGAGTGAATTGGTTGATTCACTCCTGTGTCCATAGAAAGGTGAGAGAGGATTCCTCTCAGAGGATGGGTGGAGGAAGAAGCCTCGATGATCTTGGGAATGGAGGGGGGTGGTGGAACACAGATAGAAGCTGGATGATTGTGGAGCAAAGAGAGAAAGGCGTTGGATGGGGATGGGGGTAGAAGGATGCTGGATGGCCATGCAGAGAAGAAAAAGGAGCTGGGGGTTATGGGGGGAATAAAGAAAATAAAGATATAAGTGAAAGGAGCTGGTTAGGGAATAGAAAAAGAAGCACAACATCCCAAGTGCCAGGGACCATACTCCCCAGAAATTGTGGGGCATCTGTATGTTTTAAAATAAAATTTATTTTGGGATTGAGGGGCCTTGGAGCATAGGAAGAGGAAAAATAAGGTGCTGTCTTGGTTTTGGCCTCCACTGATTTGATAAATCACAAGTGAATGTGAGATTCTACAAGAGGTTTTTAATTTTTGTCCTTATGATGATTTGTTTTATAATTTTACTTATTATATAGATGAAAGCAGACTGACGAAGTTTCCTATTCCAATGTTGGAAATGGTCCATGTGAACAAAGCAACACTTTCAGGCTAATGCTGAAGGTGTATTGGTCAGGGGCGCCCCCAGAGTGTGCAGGGAACCAAGGGGACGGAAATCAGGAGCCTCTGCAAATTCAAACTGAATGCCTGCAGAGAACTACAGAAATAAAATGAGGGTTATCTCAGAGTGAGCACAGATGTCAGATTTCCGAAGTTCTTCTGTCTCTCCATGTTTAATTAATGTCTGAGGTGTAGACTAATGGAAGGTCACCGTGGCTACTTCCATTAACAGAAAAAGTGAGGTCATATTTCTGAAATCTAGACAGGATCTAGGCTACATCCACATGGCTTAGTTAGCATGGAGTTCCTGAACAAGCAGTGGGGATAGTATTTTATTTTGGACTGAACTGGATTCAATCTAAAAGCTATCCAATAGGGTAATTAAATGCGATTGGATCATGTTTCTAAATGTGTTATCTGCTTTTCAGGATGAAAAAGCAATTCACACTTTGGATCAGCTCAATTGGAACATTGTGATGGATCCACCAAAACAGCCTGTGAATAAAAAGCAATTATCTTTTTTTTTACTTCCCTTGGAGATCAGACAAAACAGAGACAGAAATAACCGCACTATGTCATCTCTAAAAACTGAACTTTCGCCACAGGCATATCAGACCCCTCCCTGGCCTGCCCCCTTTTTATTCTTTTCACTGGATCTTTCTGGCTTACACAGCATGCTGTGTAAAAGGATAATATTATTGCTGCACTGAGAGCAAGCAAGAGACCGTATCCCCAATTTCTACTGTAGAAAAACGAGCACTGGGAGAAGGAAACCTAAGCTTTTAATACTTATTCATAGGGCTTAGCACGCATAGAAATACAAGAAATCACACTGATCTGCGGAATATCCTTTGAACTGGAACCAAAAGATTAAAGATGAACCCCAGCGATCCAGCTGCACAATGCATAATACCTCTGCAGGAATGATCCAGTTTGTTGTATTTGAAGTATCCAGCCTGGCACTTGCAAACTGCAATGCCGTCCAAGTCCACACACACAGAAGTTTCTTTGTCGCATTCCGGATCTTTGTGTTTACACAGACCACCAACTATTGCAAAAAAAGAACATTGGGAAGGTCATTAACTAGGCGGAGGGAAAGTGCACCTTCACTGGATTCTTTCTCTACAGATATCAGGACTGGAATTAGATATTTTGTGAGCGAGGGATGGGGAAAACATGTGGCCCTCCAAATGTTGCCAGGCAACAGTTTACACCATCCACAGGTTTCCTACCACCTGCTGGACCCTTGGTCCCTTTTGAAATGCCATCATTTTGAAATGGCACCATAAGGTACCAGGCTGTACAGCTGTTGCTCATCTCTTAATGACAAAAAACCTAACCAGCTGATCTTGCTAATCCAAGCATTTCCAGTGTGTTGGTTATAGCTGTGTACAGTGGTACCTCAGGTTAAGTACTTAATTCGTTCCAGAGGTCCGTACTTAACCTGAAACTGTTCTTAACCTGAAGACCACTTTAGCTAATGGGGCCTCCTGCTGCCACCACGCCACCGGAGCACAATTTCTGTTCTCATCCTGAAGCAAAGTTCTTAACCCGAGGTAATATTTCTGGGTTAGTGGAGTCTGTAACCTGAAGAGTATGTAACTGAAGCTTATGTAACCCGAGGTACCACTGTATACTACTAACTACTGTTGTAATTTTTAGATCTGTGTTTTGTGTTATTTGTGCATGATTTTATGCCAGCGTAGACATCACTCATGCCCATGCCAGCGTAGATGTCACTGAGATAAAAGTGCAAAGGTGCTGGGAATGTAGGCTTGGGAGAGCACAACTTTGACTGAGACTCTGCCCTGCCCTGTGATGCCTAAAATCTTCCTAATAAAGGCATATGGAAGGCATTGAAGCGTCACTCTTGGCAGGTGTAAAATGGCCACGATTCACCTCCATAAGGCAGCGTGTTCAGCATGGAAGCCTGGTAGACCTTTATCTTGGTATTGGTCATTAGCATCACACTCTCCCATACCCTTTTGAAGAGGCAAGCCATTGCCACAGATGTCTTCTCAATACAGTGGTACCTTGGTTTACGAACTTAATCCGTTCCAGAAGTCTGTTCTTAAACCAAATCCATTCTTAAACCGAGGCACGCTTTCCCTAATGAGGCCTCCTGCCACTGGTGCCCTTCCACCATTCAGATTCCATTCTTAGACCAAGGTAAAGTTCTCAAATGAAGACACTATTTCCGGTTTTGTAGAGTTTGTAAACCAAATCGTTCTTAAACCGGACTGTTCTTAAACCGAGGTACCACTGTATACTTGTCCAACTCTCATTGATGGAAAGGTTGCTGGTTATGGTAGAGCCCATTTTCTTGTATTGGTAATCTAACTTTGTGGTTTTGTGTTATTTTGTGTTTCCTCTGTGCATCCTTAGTGAGTTGGACACTGAAATACCATTTCCCTTGCCAGTTCTGACTATGATCAGGTTTTTTTAAAAAAAATTCATTTCCCTTCTTTTCCACTAAGGATTAGCATCCTTGAAAAATCTAACTGTTGGTAAGCTAATCAATTTAAAGATCTATATTATTAGTAGTACTACTGTTTTATTTTAAAAACCTGTACTGTCATCTCTTATCCTGTGGCTCTGAGAAGTGTTGCCCCATAATTTTGACAGGTTCGCACCACGTGGTCAGGATTCAATGCCACACCTCTGACATGAAAAGCCTGTACACAAAGACCATAATCCCACGGTGTGTCCCATATTTTACTTACAAGAATGTTTTTGTAGAGAGGCAAGCTTCTCACACATGTGAGAATGAAATCTTTATTTTATCCTATAGAGGCTTTCAAGAGGCTTTCTGTTTCAGTGAAACAAAGCTTTTCAAAGAGAGCTTTGAAGAAAGCAAGCTTTTTTAAAAAAAGAAAGAAAGAAAAGACAGAATGTTCTTTCGAAAACTTTCTTTTTTAAAAAAAAGAAAAAAAAAACCAACCCCAAAGAACAGTGTTTAACCATGTCTTTTTACCTCTGTGGAGCAGTGTAAGTTTAGAGATGAACTGGCAAGTCTGTGTGGGAGCCTTGCAGGCTCGAATGTGGCTTCGCACGGTGCTAGCAACCTCAAAAAGGGTGACGTTGGAGACCAAAGAAAAGGTGCTCAGGACAGACACTTGCATGATACCCAACTGCCTGTGGAAAGAGTGAGAAAATGCAAAGTCTGCATCATCATCCTGCAGTTGTAGAACCACAACACTTATTTGAGAATGGTACAAATATCATACACACAGCATGAACACATTTTCCTAGTCTTGGCTTGGCAGTATGTGTTTGCCTGTGGTGCTTTATATCAAAAAGACAGGGAGACAGTGCACCTCAGAGGCTGCTAGATTCAAAGCGCCTACCTGACCCTTCTCCAGGCAGAGCTCCTACCACTTTTGCAGGTGCCTGGGGGAAGACTAGGACCATGCCAAGGACCTGACTATAAAGCCAATGCTGGTTACGCTAGAAAATCTGGCATGCTTGATTCCATTAAGAATCTTCAGAGCAGGTGCATTCCTGTGACTTAGCGTGATGGCTGGAAGCAACATGTACATACTGCAGGGAAGGGTTATGGGTTTGTTTTGCCAAATTGCACCAATTCCATGCAATATAAAGAAGCCACAGGTTGATCAAGGGGAAAGGGGAAAAGAGCTTCTGCTCCTTTACAGTTGTGTACATGAGAAAATTTCAGGAGCGGCATCTTTTATTACTCAACATGATAAACTGCTCCTGCCCAAATTCCCTCTTGTAGTTATCATTTATTATTTCTATAGCAGCATCAATGTTTGTGGCATTGTACAGGGTAGATGAAGACCGCAGCCTGTACCAGAAGGCTTCAATCTTCAATTGAGGTAAAGAGTTAACCGACTGAAGGAGTCGGGGAGAACCAGGGAAAGAATATGTGTTATTGCAGTCTCTCTTCTTCCCAATTATTAATGGCACAGTACCATGGGTGGGGGGTGGGAGGGACTGTGGACTACATATCACAGTATAAAATGGTTTTTATATGTGCTGGAAGCTTCTTGGAGTGGCTGGAGAAATCCAACTGGATGGGTGGGGTATAAATATTATTATTATTATTATTATTATTATTATTATTATTAAGCTCTGGGGCAAGAGTTCAAATCAAAGCCCAGCCACCAAAAGTGATGGTTTTACTGTTTCATGATCCTTACCTGGATGCTTTAACAGTGGATGTGTAATAGCCTGGCAATGTTGAAAGAGAATTGTTCAGCTGGAAAAAAAATATTGAACATTGTATTGGTTTGTTTGTTTTGCAAATTGAGCCAGGAGCAACGAGCTTCACCATCATGCCATGCATCCTAACCCAGCTGCACCAGGTAGCTGGGCTGCTGCTGCTCGCTTGGTGTGGTCCCTCACCACCATTCGCCCCCCCCCCCAGTGTGTAAGGAGATCCTGGTCACTCACAAATAGCAGCACATGGGGACATGAGAGAGGAACTTGGGCCACCTATTGCAAAGGAGAGGTATAGGCATGGTGTGTGTGTGTGTGTGTGTGTGTGTGTGTGTGTGTTGGGTGCATGTGTGCTGTTGCAAGGGGCCCACACAAATCTGGAGCTGGCTCTGCTTACACCTTTGAGGAGCAGATGGTGCTTCCTTACTGTGAAGGTTCCGAATGCAAGCTCATGGGTCACGAGAGGAAAAAGGCAAGAAGCAGCATAATGGATGTGCTGGAGAACTTTCTAAGATCATTCACAAGTTTAAAAGACAACCTCTACTGCGCTGTAGGGCAGGCAAAGGTGCCAGCCATGCCCCTGATAAGAGAGCCTTCTGTAAAAGAGCTGGGCAAAGAGAAGAAGCCCCCTTATTTCTTCCAGCAAACTGCCTCCTCACAAGCTGCCACTGTCACGTTAAATACTATGCTTAAAAAGCAACTTTTGACACTTACCATGTTCATAATAGCTTCTTCAACTTGAAACTCTGAGTACTGCCCTCCAGTTGTGTTAAACTGGCCAACAAAGGTTCGAACTGAAGGCAAGAAGATAGCTTGTTAGCTACTTTAAGGGTTAGATCTCTCTCTCTCTCTTTCACTCACACACGCACACATACATTGAATGCCAAGGAAACCTAACTTTTCTCCACAACAGTGAAATAGAAACATGTTTTTTTATTTAAATGGAAGCTTTGTTTCTAAGGCCCAAACTAGACATTACACAGCAGAACACTGTTAACTGCCAATCATACATTAATGTTAGAACACAGGAAGCTGCCTTATAACAAGTCAGGCAATTGGCCCATCTAGCTCAGTATTGTCTACAATGACTGGCAGTGGCTACTCATGGTCCTCCAGCCATTGTTGGACTGCAACTCTCATATTCCCTGACTATTGGCCATGCTAGCTGTGGCTGATGCATGGTTGAATCCAACAACGTAAGGCACATCCTCTCTACTCCTTTAAAGTCTTGAAGTGTAAAATCATGGATTGAATAAGTTAGTTGAACTTAGGTTTCATTGAGATTGATAACACAAGTTAAACATGACTGACTTCAGTTTCATTGATCTCAATGAGAACCAGTTCCTGCAAACCAGCAAAGTGAGGTTAAATGTATTTCTGGTAATAAGAAGCAGCCGGTGCTAGTAAAACCTTTTAAAATAATAATAACAAATTAAGCTAAATGTGGCTTTATGTTTTATTAAGAAGTTTGCCCCCACCCCCGGTCCCTTCAGTTCTCTTACCTAAATTGCACTTTCCTTTCTCCATCTGGTAGCCCAGGGAACACGTGCAATGGAACGAACCTTGTGTGTTAGTACATGTGGCCAAGGCCGGGCATGGATTAGACAGACACTCATCTACATCTGAAACAGAAGGAAAAAGCCACAGCCTTTAGAATGGAAGTCCACCAATCCACTTTTCATTGCTGTAAAGCACTGATGTAAAGGGCTGCCATTATTCCTCCATTACCTGTACTGCAATCCTCTCCCTGCCAACCAGGTGAACACTGGCACTGGAATTTGTCCATCAAGTTATCCACAATGCATTTCCCATTATTAAGGCAAGTCTCTGCGGTGCACGCATTAGCTGTGAAATAAAGCATTTGAAGAATTAAGTCAGGATCAACAGATGTGACCAAATTCACCTCCTAACCCCCACATTCAACATGCAAGGTAGTGCACTGCACCTTTCACCCGCATGCACGCAAAAGCTTCCTCTTCTGATACCTAGAACCAACAAGTCAAGCCGAATAAACTATACACTGCTGGGGTGATCACTCTCCAAAACCATGCAATAAATGGCTACTGCTGGTTTCCCAAAACACATGGAGAACTAGCTTCCACTCATCCTGCTGATCTGAGTCTCACTTCTGGCATTCTGAAGGTGGGGTACCTCTGGAGAATTACCAGCAATGGGCACCTTCAAGCCAAAAAGAAGTGATGCGCTTCACAATGTAGCCTTACACCTTGGAGACAAAACGCTATTCAGCCTACATCGCAAATATAATTTTGTGCAACAGGCAGGCACAGCAGAAAGGGCTTCAACCATAGGTCCTTGCCTTTGCTTAAAAGCTGGAGAATGTGGCCAGCAAACACTGGCACACTCTATTAACTAAAGGAGTAAATGCATTATAAAATAACTATAGTACATAAATTATGCCACAGACACAAAGTTACACTATTGTACAACTGGGACATGCAACAAAAAGTTGCATTGTAGAGAGCTCCAGGGTTCTAGAGAAATGGGATAGCCATGCCCTTTTTTTCTGCAGATTCCATTTTATTATTCTAGATGATCCTTTCCCCACCTCAACAAACATTCAACATTGTGTGGACATTGCTGGGTTGTTTTGAGACAGGTGTTACTGTGTCCCCTTTCAGTTTCATCCCCTATAGATGCTTTATGTATGTGTGTTTTTAAAAAACTTACCCCCCGGCCCCCCAATCTCCAAATAATTTTTGATGCTGAGCTCCGGAGTAGATGGTTTCCTTTTTTTTTTTGGTAGAAACGCATAACCACTTTTTTTTACAAAAAGATAATCTACCAAATGAATTCCCATCCAAAAGTGCAATGATACAGCACCATTAAATCCATTTTTCGTGTTATACCCATTTCCATCATTTCTCAGAGAAGGCTTACCTTTTCCACGGGAAGCTGGAAATGTCCTTGGACTTCCTACCCGTGCAAATGTAGTGGCTTTGGTGGGAACGGGTGAAGCAGAAACGGTCCCTGCAGTGGTTTTGCTGGAAGGAAACATTTTGGGAGGGTGGGCAGTAGTGGCTCTGGAATCAGTGGTTTTAAAAGCAGTGGTAGTGCTCGTTTCCATCCCTTTTGTGGGAGTTCCAGTGGCATAAGATGGCGTCTTGGTGGGAAGGGGAGGACGTACTTTCTGAGGCTTTGTAGTGACCACATAATCCACGCTTGAGGCCAACGTAGGTAATCCTAACGTTGTGTGTGCTATATTTACAAGGTTCTTTCCTGTGGTTACCCCCACCAAACTGAAGGCACCCTCTAGAGTGGTTGTATATGGCAACGAAGCAGTTGTTGCTTTGGCTGTCTCTGAAACTGTGGTACTCTGGGCCCTGTACGTGGGAGACGTAGTCGGAACAGGAGGCATTTTTCCAACCCTGGTCCCTGCGAAAGAAACATTTTGCCCCTCTGAGCCCTTGGTTTCATCTAGGGATACTGTCATAGGTGACAAGTGGTCTGTGAGCTGTTCAGTAGTTTGGGTCAGAATAAGAGAAGATCCTGTTGTCCCCAGATCAGTGCTGTCCTTCAGTGGGTATGTCCCAGTCTGGTTGCTGAATGGCCTGTTGGAGCTTCCAGCTGTGGGTGGGTCTGTTCCAGTTGTCCCTTCAGATGCAGCCATAGAAACACTGCCTTCCAAAGGCTCACTAGGCTGCAGCAACGACGGTGTTGAGGAAAGAGGAGGCAATAAAGATGAGGATGGGGGCAGCGTGGGCAGTGCTGTTGGCGACTGCCTGCGTGAAAAAGTTGGCAAAAGTGTTTGAGGGGAAGGTGAAAGCAGGGTTGGGAAAGCAGAGGAAGACAATGGAAGAGGGGATTCTGAGGTCGAAAACAGAGTTGGCAGCTGAGTGGGTAGAAGTGAATCCTGTTTCAGTGACGCTGAAGAGGAAGGTGTGAATGATAAGCCGCCAGCAGGTGTCAGTTCGGATTTCGAATATAACTGAGTTGCATGCAGCTCACTGACTGTGGAAGAGTAGGCCGGTGTTTTCAGGGCGTGTACAGACAACGGTTCTGTTGATGGTGTGGAGAAACCCATGTTGCCGGAGGACACGTTGCTTCCTCTGATCTGGGTCACAGAAAATGAGGACCGTGCTGACTCTGAAGGGCTGGAAATTTCTGCATAAAAAGTGGAACTTTCTGATGAGTCAGCTGATGTGCTGCTTTTTGGAATAGACAGTAACGTCCTTTCTCCGCCCCTTGTGAAAGTGGTTGAAATGTACGTGCTGTCCGTATGAGAAACAGAGATTATTTTTCCAGTGTCAGTGCTACTCATTGGCTGGTAGTCTGTTCCAGTGTCTAAAATACAAGCAAAAATTATTATTAATTCTTAGCATGAAATTTCTACTGATACAGATTGGGGCCCCCAATAACAGTAATAGTTTCAGATTCCATATGTAATAAAATTAAAACAAACAAAAAAAAATCCATAAAAGTTTCATTTTTTTAAAAAAGCCTCAAGGTGGCAATTATTGGTAACTTCTGTTATCATTTTATATGAATTCATGGCCATGGGAGGTCTGATGGCTTACATTACAACTGTATACAGAGAGAAAAAATCCTAGACAATAATCATGGTAGGAAGGAATATTAACAACAATTAACTAAGACAGCAATAGGCTATATCCTCTTCTTGCCGATATCTTCTTGTTCTTACTGAGAACAAGTGACTATTGAAGTAACTCACAATATTGGACTGAGCTTCTGCATAAAATGAATTGTAAATACGTCATTTTATGTTGCCAGCCGATAAGAGATGGTGAGTAAATATCATTAAACCAAATGGGATTTACTTATGACTGGACATGCATAGGATTAGGTGTTAAGACTGCAATGCTATACATACTTATTCAGAGGTAAACCCCACTGGGGGTTACACTCAAGGAAGTGTCCACAGGATTTCAGTCCAAAACTAACCCTAACCCTTTACATTTATTGCTGCATTTCGCTTTTCTCTTACATACTTTTTAAAAAGTGCCAAGGATAGCTTATGTCAATAATCAATAACTCAAAACAAATTCCTTAAGTACAATTCACAGTATTAAATCCAAACTTTTTTTCCTTAAATCTCCTAACTAATATCAACAATTACTTCATCCTAACCTCCTTAAGATTTGGAGAAATGTTTTACAATGCTTGAGCTATGGCTCTAAGATTGGCAAGCTTTTCTGGGAAATAAATTCCAGAGAATTCTTTCAGCTCTTCTAGTCCGGAATGCTCCCAGCTGGGGACCTGATGAACTCACAAATCTGTCTGTTCTCTGAGGTCACCCTGGCAGGCCCACTTTCAGAACAAACCTTGGTTTCAGCTCATGGCTTGAGCAGAGTGAGATACAGTGGTACCTAGGGTTACATACGCTTCAGGTTACAGACTCCACTAACCCAGAAATAGTGCTTCAGGTTAAGAACTTTGCTTCAGGATGAGAACAGAAATCGTGCTCCGGCGGCGCGGCAGCAGCAGGAGGCCCCATTAGCTAAAGTGGTGCTTCAGGTTAAGAACAGTTTCAGGTTTAAGAATGGACCTCTGGAACGAATTAAGTACTTAACCCGAGGTACCACTGTATAACCATGTTCCCAGGTTTGGACATATCGAGAAATCAAACCATGGCTTTGTTCGCAGCAGCAGTTGGACTGGGAACCTGCACACTTATTTGTTTGCACTAAGCTTGGCTTAGTGTTACTTGTGGATCACTGCGGACATCCAGTAATTGTTGGTCCCAAGAATAAAAAGACATACACAAAAGCAATACCTTTTACATATTCATCTTCATTCAGTTTCACCAACAAGAACTAATAGTTCAATGAAACTTGTTGCCTTGTCGTGTAAAGCTTACATGCACTTGAAGAATATGCAATTAGGGTGATAATTGTGTATTGAAAAGTGCTGGCAGGTAAAGCAGGGTACAAAATAAAAACCAACCTGAAGGTTCACTTTGGAAGGAAGAGTAAGTTGGTATCCTGGATGAGCTGAAGTTTTGGAAAGACTCAGTTGAAGACCCAGAAGTATCAAAACCTTTTACTGAGAAGTCTGTCCTTCTAGAGTATGCTTCTGACGAGGAAGGATTTAGTTCTGAGCTGTTGGACTCTTCTATATATGAAAAAGTTCTTTCAGTCGCTTCAGCAAACGTATTGTTAACTATGGATTGTAGAGTTTGTGCGTCTCCTTTGCTGAAAGTTGCTGAATGGTAAGTGCTTTCAGTGTAAGAGTGTGAAATGCTTGTGTCACTCATTGAATGATGACTACTTCCAAGAACTGAAAGAGGAATTTGAAAATGAAATTTTAAAATTGCACTTACAGCATATAACTTCACTATCAAAACCTGTATTATTTATAATGTCGCATTATTCATAATGTGTAGTTACTAGATTTCAGTAAAGTGAATTACATCCTGCCCCATTTTGAAGGCATATCGTTTAAGGTGATGCCTACAGATCTGCCAGTGGAATACTGCAAATAGTGACATTTCATTGGTTCATACTGTACTCCAGATCCCCTTTTGCTGCAAAAAACCCCAAACTCAAATGTCATGCTCTGAACAAATTATATAGTTCATAACAGAAATGCTTATCATGAGAGACTTGATAATTTGTAAGTGTGTATGCATAAAGATATGCATAAAGATATGCATCCCCGTCGCGGGGATTCGAACCGCCAACCTTCTGATCAGCAGGTCCTAGGCTCTGTGGTTTAACCCACAGCGCCACCCGCATCCCTGTGTATAGACATACATAATGCAAACTATGGTGAGTACAGTCAATTCTTCCTTCACTCTTTTTCCTAAAGAAAACTCACTTGACGGATCCTTTGGTGAAGATGGGGACGTTGGAACTTCAGAGGAATGCTGAAGCAGGTGCTCAGTAGAAGATCCAGCGGATTGCACTTCACTTTGTGAGACATTATGTGTTTCTCCTCCGGAATTCAAGCTCAAGGTCGGATCTGAAGACTCGGAAGTTTCAGTACTGTCTGTTGCATCAGGAGATGTGCTGTTATCTGGTAAAGACCGTGAGGTCCTCTCTCTACCATGCATGAATGTAGTTGATAAGTTTATGCTGTCTGTAGAAGCCCCAGAAAGCCTTCTTTCCACATCAGACACTTTAACTGGCTGAAGACTGCTTCCAGTACCTAAATCGAAACAGAATACACCGTATTTTTCTGTGTATAAGACAACATCAAACAGAACAACTTTGAGATTTTTTGAGGGAAGCTGGCTGCCCACGCCAGAGTCAGAGCCTGAACCCCTGTGCATTCACCATCCATGTATAAGACAACTCCCAATTTTTGACAAATTTTTAATAGCAAAAACCATAATCCTATACACAGAAAAATACGGTAGTTGGGAAAGAGGAAAATACAAATTTCATATGCATCCCTTCTTTGAATTTCTTTAGGTGTTCGTACTTCCTGTCAAAAGTACCGCTTCTTTCGATTCTTTTAAGTTTGAATACTTAAAAGTCATAATAATACAGCTGATCCTCAAAGGTTTTTAACTAATGCCACACAGCATGATTACAATTCAAAGAAAGATGTTGTTAGTTAGGCTTAAGTGCTCACTTCTTATATCCTTTTGATATAGGCAAAAATTATTTTGACTTTAATGAGACTTGAGAATGTATTTGGCTGGGTGGCCCCCAGTACATGTTGGGTCTAGAAATGGAAAATCAGATGACTACATCACACTAATTTTTATTGTTCCGTGGAGTTGGAGTATTTTCATAAGGTTGAAGTGGAAGGCAGACTAGCACAGAATGTTTTTAATGAAAAAATGGTGCAGAAACTGGACAGCGGGCATTTGAAGTCAGCGGCTATTTGATATGCTTAACAGTGTTGCTATACAATCAGAAATGCTGGTGAGCTGAATTTTACATTGTGTATAATTTCATAGATCATAATAATAGAGTTTTGAAAGATGGAATACAAAGAATGGACATGTGCCAAGGAAGCAATTGCATGAAAGCCACAATAGTTATTGTTGATGCTATTATTATTATTATGATTATTATTATTATTATTATTATTATTATCTATTATTACTATTAATCCCTCGGCCTTCCTCCCAAAGGAGCCTAGGCTGACAAATATGCAAGTAATAAAACAATTTAAAAATCTAAATAAATTGCAATGCAGATGTAGACCGGGAAAGATATCTCCTTAAAAGGCTTTTTGGAAGAGGACGATGTAGGCACTGAAAAGTTGACAGAGACAGTGCCTGTCTAATATTTAATAGGAAGAAATTCTAAAGGGTAGATGGCACAACACTAAGGGTCTGAGTCCTATATTGCCAAAGAGTCAAGCTGTTACCCAGTTTAAAAATGGCACATCTTTTTAGCAGCAGAAATTGCTGCACCTAAGGGCAACCTCACATTTTTTAATCAGGTGTGAGCAGACTTCAGATGTACTATTTTGTAGTATGTTTCCCCCCTGGAACTTGAAGTCCACAACATGCGAAATAGCAGTGCAGTGGGCTGGGGCTGAGGCAAGGGTAAGGATGCAAAGTAAGAATTCTTCTGAACACATGCCCAGGAATTTGTTGTGCAGAACTGCATTCCTTTCATACAGAAATCCAGTCCTAGTTTTCCCTTAAGTTCTCTCTATTTCAGCAGCCCAATTTGCAGAGTGGGGCTACTGGTAACCCCTGCTTTACATGATAAGCATATTTCTTCCATGTATAGCAGGGGCTCCAGTTGCATGTGCTTGTGTGTGTAAAGACATACATGCGTTATGGACATTTTCATATATTTTGCCACAGGAACCACAAATGTATACAAAACACTTTGGCTGTGTACACATTATACCTCTAAAGCATATTTGGATCACATTTCCTCTCTGAAAGAATTCTGGGCATGGTAGTTTGTTAAGGCTTGCTGGGAATGGTAACTCTGTGAGGTGTGAACTACAGTGCCCAGAATTCTTTGAGAGAAAGAATGTGTTTTGACTGTGCTCTAAAGGTATAATGTGTGCACAGGACAGTTATATAAAGTGTGGATATGTGTCGCGAAGAGCAAAGTTATAGTCGTTCATATTCATGTGTATAATACAATAGTTAAAAGCTGACTGTTACTTTAAAAAGGAAGAAATAAGGAGAAGATTATGGAGAAAACTACATAGACAGACAGGAAACAAATGAATGGCTACGTCTCAAGCCGATTTCTAACTGAAGCAATAACAAAAATGGAAAACTCACTTGAAAGATCTGTTGCAGAAGATGGATAGGCAGAAGTTTTGGAGGAATATGTAAATAAATGCTCTTTTGAGGACTCACTGAAATCCATCTGGGTAGATGGGAAACTGTGCTTTCCACTTTGGGCTGAGGTTGACAAGTTCTGGGTTAAATCTACAGAGCTGACATTTTCCAGATCAAAAGTTGATAGCTCTGTTGCATCTGTGGATTTGCTCTTGATAGTTAGAGATCCTAATGTCCCATCTCCAGTTTTGATGAATGTGGCAGTAGAGAACATACTCTCAGTCTGAGAGACCCTTTCCTCTGTACCAAAGTTGTTGAATGTGTGCTGGCTACTCCTAACATCTAGAAGAGAACAAACTGGAATTAGAACTTTGTCTACAAGTTCAGACTAAAGTTATGCACATACATTAATTGTAAAACTGTATGCACATTTACTCAGAAGTAAGTCACAATGTGTCCAATGGGGCTTATTATCTTGTATGTGTGTTTAGGATAGCAGCCTATTATAAAAATCATAATTTTCAGTTTTCAAGTTTATCATTCTAATGTCACTGTCATCTCATCCAAATACAACTTTCTGTATTTTTTTTAATGATATGGAAATGTTTTACATTTCAGGAGAATTTGCTTATTTAGATTTATTCTATGGTGTTCATTTTTAATAATAATAATAAAAATCTGTAAAGAGAGAAGAAAAACACAATGAGCTGGGAGCTTTCCCATGAGCTGGGCAAAATCATGTATCCCCTATATAAAATAAATAGTTTCTTAAAAAAAATGTGCCATAGTGGCCACCTGCTTTTCATCTTACCTAATCTAATTTACAATTTCCAATCTAGTACCTCATTATGGCTTCATCTAGCCAATCCAATTATAAGAGGTAGTCACTATCCTATGTCTCATTATCTCTGGCATGGTCTTAGTTGGGCAACATATTACATTTAGGTCAATGGAATTAACCAGTGGAAACTCTAATAAGCTAAATTATTAAAGCTAAAATGTGGATTTTTCCATTTGAATTTAACCAGAGCAGAGGCCACAACTAGTGAGATGTTCCAGATCAAAAGCAGAGAGGTATGTGTCACCTATAGCCTTGCTTGTGTCACTTAAGGTAAAGGTAAAGGGACCCCTGACCATTAGGTCCAGTCGTGACCGACTCTGGGGTTGCGGCGCTCATCTCGCTTTATTGGCCGAGGGAGCCGGCGTGCAGCTTCCGGGTCATGTGGCCAGCATGACTAAGCCGCTTCTGGCAAACCAGAACAGCGCACGGAAACGCCGTTTACCTTCCCGCTGGAGCAGTACCTATTTATCTACTTGCACTATGACGTACTTTCGAACTGTTAGGTTGGCAGGAGCTGGGACCGAGCAACGGGAGCTCACCCCGTCGCGGGGATTCGAACCACCAACCTTCTGATTGGCAAGTCCTAGGCTCTGTGGTTTAACCCACAAGAGATCCTAAAAGCCCATCTTTGCTTCTCACAAGAGTGATGGAAGAGTACATATTAGGTAAAAATTTCCTTTTTCAATGCTGTCTTGAGTTACCCAGACCTTTGACTCAGGAAGACACTTCCAGGGTAGGAATGCTATGCCCCTGGGGCCACTGTGTGCCTAACAAGAGACCCGGTGAGAGAAGTTATTATCTTTTTACAGCACTGTTCCTACAGCAGCTTCCTTTTCCAAGAGTTCCAAAAGCCAGAATCTGCTAATGCCATCTGCCCAACGAGGCCTACAAGACTCAAGAAATCACTAGCAGGAACTTCCTAATTGAGTTGTTTTAGAATATTTTAACTGTGGTAACCATTTATTATGTGTGCTGCTTCTTAAATAAAATGACAATTGGAAGCCACTCTCCATGTGGATTGCTGACTCTGTTTTGAGATCATCTACTCCAGCAGTTACTATGAATGAATGCACAACACTGGCACTCAGATGACAAGCCACTTATAGGTCACATTCACACCATATGTTTAAATCACATGGCTCCCCTCAAAGACTCCTGGGAACTGTAGTTTGTTAAGTGTGCATTGTAAGTTACAGTTCCCAGGATTCCTTGGGGGAAACCCATGTGCCTTAAATGCATGGTGTGGATGTGACCAAATATTATGTCCCTCGTATGGAAGTGTTACCACATGGAAGTGTTCATCAGTGAACTCAGTGTTAACGCTGTAACTTATGGAGTGGTCCTGGAGTATGGGGAAAAGAAAGGATTTTCAGAGCAGGTGATGAAAAGGCTATACTCCTTATGGGGCTCAACATCCCTTTAGAAAGTTTTCCATTCCCAAGTCAAGCCGCAGCATAGCTCGCCACAGGAATTGGGGCCACAACGGGAAACGTTTCCTTTTCTCCAGCCCACTCATGATCGATAGCAGCCACCATGGAGTGTGTGGAAAGTCCCAACATTATTGCCCTGGCTCATATGGTGACTTATATAAACAATACCGCTGAGAGGGAGAGGGCACTTACTACACGGATGCTGATTTCCAGGGAATGTGTAATCTTCAGATCAGCCCTTAGGGGGTGATGGGTAGGGCTGGAAAAGGGATGTCATAAAAGGGCTAAATTGTTCAAAGGTGTCCTCTAAGCACAAACAAGAGTCCCCAGGGCTATAAAGCAAAGTTTATGTGAACTTTCTCTCATTGTCTAGGATCGGGAGCAATCCCCTCTTTTTCCACAGGAAATTTGGTTTTACACCAGCCAAGGCAAACCAGTGCTCTCAAATCTGTAACAAAACAGAAGATCTTAATTCGTTACCTGTTGCTTCTGAAGGGGACTGGGAATGTGTAACCGCTGCTTCAATAAAATCAGTGTCCTCTGTTGACAAATTCGTCTGTCTGGTATGCTCCGGAGTCAACATGTAAGAAGAATTAGGGAGGTCCGAAGAGCTGGAGATTTCAGTATTACCGGCGATGGACTTTTGTGTTGTGTTCTGAGAAATGCTGTTGTTGCTTATTGTCCTCTCTCCACCTCTGTCAGGTAGAACTGAAACAGATGCACTGTCAGTATGAGAACTAGAAATACTCCTCTCTGTATCTGAGCTGCTTGCTGACTGGTGATCAAGATCTTCAGTAGCTGAAACACACAACAGTAAAAAAAAAAAAAATGAGATATGCCACCTCCAGATATAGAAAGTGTATCTCAAGTTTTATTATGTAGTTTTCTTATAATCATGCAGATCAAATGGAAAACATGAAGGGGGGCGTGCGCACTGCAGCCCAATAAAAATAACGAATGCCTAGATTAATGGTTGAATTCAAAAATATCAATGTGCAAGAGGAATGGCTTCCACCCACACAAGAGAACTTCCTCTCCTCCCACACTGTGCCCCCACACCAAACCCAAATCTATTCTGATGGGTTTCTCTGATTAGGAGGGTTCAGAGGCCATTGGAGGGGAGGAGTGAGATGGGAAGCTCCACTGCGAGAGCAGAAGTCATTCCACTCACACAAATATTTAGTTGGAAACAACCCATTGTTTTATGACAAAAAAAAAGGATTAATGTTTGTGTACATGGCTTGTTTTTATTTCCAGCTGTCATCGTAACATTGGAAACATTAATTTGGATTAAATACATTTTATAGCATAAATTAATAAAAAGCATCTTTTTTGGTCTTTTTTCTTTCAAGTATGTATATATACCTTGTTAAATACCTGCATGCTTCATTAATCCATTCCTCAATAGTTGGAGAAATTGCTTGACTTCAGTACCTGGTTTTTCAGTTGCTATAATCTCCAAGACCATTTAAAAATATATATTTATCTTTATACTTGTTATAGGTTAAAATGCACATGTTGAATCCCCCTGCTCTAATTTATTATACTTTTATATTTCCTGTAAGCTGAACCATAATTTTTATTTAACTATTTAACTAATGTACCACTTGAAACAGTGCTCTCTAATATCCACCTTTAATAAGGAACAAGTGCTCCTGTTGGCCACACATTTCCACAAATATATATAACTACAGTACATACACTCCAGTATATTAGCTCCATCCGCCATATAGTTTTAACTTGATTAAACTCACATATGTATTCCAGGAGGAAAAAAATAGATCTTTGACAATATGTTGTTATTGTTACCAGTAATCAATCAGTCAAAATATGTTAAGGTTCTGAAAGGCATATTGGGTGACATCCAGTGATCTACCAACAAGTCACTGTTGATACAACAGATCCCCCTGCTCTGCCCTAGTATGCCCCTAAAATCTGTTCAAGACAGTTGGGAGTCAGTCTAGGGTAGACTAGGGGGAGAAACACAGGAGGTTGCAAGGGAGAAAAGGAGTTGTTCTTAATGTGTTTGTGGAAGTCCATTCATGTGATGTTGGACATTGCCAAATGATTCATATCCCCTCCAAAAGTGCAAATAAGTCCTAATTTGAAATACCAGCACAGTGGTACCTCGGTACCTCACCGCCTTTAGTGGCTTGTCTCTCTAATCTTAGCCTATCTCCTCTTGCTCTCGTTTTTAAATCTATTCATCCTAATGCTTTGGTTTCATTGTTACACCAGGCAAGTGAAACAGTACACTGAGATTTAGAATAAAAGAGATCTTCGTGCTTTACCTGTCATTCCCAAAGAAGCCTGGGAATGTGCAAGCGTTACTTCGGTGAAATCATTGTCCCCTGGTGACAAATCCATTTGTCCAGTCTGTACTGGAGTTAACATGTGAGAGGAATTTGTGAGGCCTGAAGAGGTGGAGATTTCATTGCTAGCCATTGTGGATAGTTGTGTTGCATTAAGAGAACTGCTGACGTCTCTCAGTGTCCGCGATGTCCTCTCTCTGCCCCTATCAGTTAGACCTGAAACAGACGCACCATCTGTGTGAGAACTGGAAATACTTCTCTCTGTATTTGAGCTGCTCCTTGGCTGACCACTGTTTTCTGTAGCTGAAACACAAGAGCAAGACATTAGATGTGCCATCTGCATGCACTAAAAGAGCATCACATTGCATTTCTTCCCATAATTATATTCAGACAGCTCTAATGGAAAACAAGTCCATATCCCCTTTTGTCTTACAAAAGCAATGACGTTCAGAAAGATGTCTTAGAGTATGATGAGAAAGGGTGATCCTGTGCTGAGTCAGTCAAAAGGGTGGTTACCTGTGAGTAGTAGAAAAAGGAGTGAACCTATGACTGTGTGTGTGTAGGGATGCTTCATTTCTGTGCTTTTAATGCCTGCACTGCAGTGGGTGCTGCTGTAGAGGGCGCTCTGGTGCTTTTGGGTCTGGGAGACAGAGCCCAACAATATTTGAGTAACACAGAGTTTCCTGTCTCTGAGCTATAAGGTATTTGCTCTTTTTCTCTTCATGTTTATATTCATTGCTAATGTTTGGGCATCATCTTTACACCAGACAAGTGAATCAGTGCTCCAAAATCTGTAATAAAAGAGATCTTCATCCAGTACCTGTTGTTTCTGAAGGAGCTTGGAAATGTGGAAGTGCTGCTTCAGTGAAATCATTGTCCTCTGGTGATGAATCCATTTGTCCGGTCTGTACTGGAGTTAGCACATGTGAGGAACCCAGGAGGCCTGAAGAGGTGGCGATTTCATTGCTAGTGGTTGGGGATATATGCACTGCATTAAGAGAACTGCTGACATCTCTTAAAGTACGTAATGTCCTCTCTCCACCCCTGTCATTTAAACCTGAAACAGACACATCATCTGTGTGGGAACTGGAAACGCTTCTCTCTGTATTTGAGCTACTCCTTGGCTGACTACTGTCTTCTGCAGCTGAAATAGAAGAGGAAGATATTAGATGTGCCACCAGCAGGCGCTGAAGGTGGATCTTATTGCATTTCTTCCCATAACCGCATTCACACATATTTAACAGAAAACAAGTTAATTGTGCTCCAGTCCCTGCACCAGCTGATAGAAATGATGAAACCTTGGGGGGAAAGTTGGGGTTTAAAACCTTTATAATAAAATCTGAGGGGAAAGTGCTAGTATAAAAGAACTGCTTTGAAATATTCAAAAATATCTACATTTTAGGAAATTCCTACAAGCAGTAGCTTGCTCCACTTTAAACCCAGTGGAATACTGTAAACCCAGCAAAGCTACAGGATTGTGTTATGAAAGGAACCTCTAGTGTGACTCGCGTTTTGGGACCAGAAAGGGCAAGAGACTCAAGAAAGCAAAGAACAAGATCTTGGAAAGACGGGGAAGATGCTAACTTCGGCACATATTTCTGAGCAATCGTTGTACAACATATTTTCTCTTTAACTGCAAGGCTCTCACCCACAAGCCAATTTAGGCTCACGGGGTCTTAACTTGGCCCACAAAGTCATGTCCCAGCTAAGTCCACCTGCACCACAGCCAAGGCACCTTCAGACTTGCTCTGCAAAGCACATCACAACTGTGGCATGCAATGTTGGCGGAGGGGATTGACCAAAGGGAGCTGGTGTTACTATTGTGATGCAATCCATTTTCAGCTGAAAGCTCCTCCTCAGAGTGACACTATAACTCTGTGCATTATTATAACAAGACTTTAATAAGGCAGCATTTGATAAGACACAACCATGATTATTTACCCAGTCAGCTTCCAACAGACATTGTGTATTTCAAAGAGCCCATTTCCATTAACTGAATGAGCTATGTCTGCAGCCCTTTTGCAGCAAGGATTGCTGAGCTACAGCCATCAAAGTTCAGGATAAGATTGTGGCTAAATGGTAGGCAAAAGGAAGTCAAAAAGCCAACAGCTATTCCAAAAGCCCCCACTCAGACATCCCACGAAATAATCTTGCTGGCAAGTAAGTATCCCCTCTGAATACCCTTGGTCCCAAATAAGGAGATGGCCTCTTTGCCAATAAATGGAAGCAGTGCTTCCAAGTCTTGGCATCCCCATTCACTCACTCTTTTCTTCCTACCAGGTCCCAACCCAAAGAATGCACAGATTTCATCAGCAGAATATGAGGCAGCCAATGCTTCTTCTGCCCATCCCCTTTTCACTATACCACTGCCTGTCTCACTTGTTGGTTCTCTCCCTTTTCTGTTCTTAGCAATGAAACCAAGCTAAGTCAATGATCAGTAGTAAACTCCACCACCACCTGGAAGAGAAACTGACAGTGGGGCAATTGAATTGTGTTGCTTTCTTGTTTTGCTGTCCTGGGCTCCTTTGGGAGGAAGGGTTGGGTAGCAAATGAATAAAAGAAATAAATTGGGAAAGGCTATTCAAGAGGTGAACAAATAAAATCCCAGCTTGGATCAACAGGAAGCAATAAAATGGGTAAAGAGGAAGTGTTCCATTTAAAGGCATAGAAGTTATGAAAAGCATTAATAGTGCTTTGCCGATTGCTGGTGCTAAAACTGTGCCTCCTCATGGGGTGGGAGGTGGGAGTCTGAAAAAACATGGGAAGAAATGTGAGTGAACAAAAGAAGGTGATTCTAAAGAAAAGGGATACTGTGGAAGCAGTAGGATTTTCCCCACTTTTGTCTTATCAGGACTCACCAGTCTAGAACCTAAATCAACTCTCCAAAATTCCTGGTAAAATTTCTGCTTTTGCACAACTATTAAAAACATAGGACCCATCTTCCCCTTTCCATCTACCTTTTTCCTATAAGTGGAAAAGATGTCTTCCAGTGGTTACTAGTCATGAAACCCCAGATGGGAACCTCAGTCTTTAACAAAAGTATACTATCCATGCTGATGATTAACAACAAGGAACGGATAGCTTCATCATGCTCTGCTTTATGAATTTCAGTGAGGAATCTTGCTATCCACCATCAACAGACTAATACCATGACATAGAACAACAATTGTTTTGATTTCACATAAAATATCAACATAGTTTCTGTTGTTATTTTTGAACGGAATGCCAAGAATCTAATCCAGGCTTCGTCAACCTCGGTCCTCCAGATGTTTTTGGCCTACAACTCCCATGATCCCTAGCTAGCAGGACCAGTGGTCAGGGATACTGGGAAATGTAGTCTCCAAACATCTGGAGGGCCGAGGTTGAGGAAGCCTGATCTAGTCCTCAAATCATAATGGTGACTTACCACTTCTGGAGAAAACCCCCTCAAACTAATCATAAACAATCCTTTGCATTTTGGAACATACTAGAGAGTTTAAAGTTTTCACCTCTATTATGTCAGGAATCCTTTCAAAAACCCTGCAAGATAGCCAAGTATCCTCCCAATATCTGAGATGCAAGGATGAGAATTAGTGGCTTCCCTGTCGCCACCAATATTTGCTCAGCTGAGATAAAATCTGCAGCAACTTCCTGGCTCACAGCTCACATGGCATTACACTACAGCAGTTCTAAAACAGTATAATGCTATTATTTCTCTATGGGAATTCATTAAGAAGTAGACTTTTAGAACAGAAAAAACAACAACATACTAGTCTTTGGAGGCGAGTAAGACTGGGCAAGCCAAATCCTTGCTGAAGACTCAGGAAATTGTGTGACCTTTGATGTGTTACTTCTTCCTCTGGAATGTGTTGCATGAGATGGGAACTGGGTTCGATCAGGAAAGGTGGTGACTTCCCTCTGAGAAACTGGGTCTTTTCTTGATGAATCAGTCAGAGCGACACTGTCTGTAAGGAACTGTGATGTCCTTTCTGTGCCTCTGTTGGCCGTTGTTGAACTGTCCGTGCTGATGATATGCAAACTGGATGTTGTGCTGTCTGCATCCCACCTTCTATCTATATGGTGGCTGCTCCCAGTAACTGTAAATATGAAATGAGAAAATTAAACCCTATCAGGCTCTAACAATTTGGTATTTGCAGTGGAACCATGGCTTCCATCCATCTGATGTCTTGAATTTCATCTGGTGTCGAGAACTGTACAGAACTTGCAATAACTATATTATACTTGGGCATTACACAAAAAAGCAACTGGAGGGTAAATCTTGCAAAATAGGCGAATATATACAAAATTCGTTATTTGCATAAATGTATGCAGGTTCAGCTTTGTGTGGCATCTTATTCATACCTTTGATTGAAAAGGGGGGTGTCTCAGATTCCATTTGCTTTCATTTTCAATGAAATTCAACTAAGACTAACTACAAACATGTATAATTTAATGATGACAAACACCATTAAACACCTTTATGTTTGTACATCTAATCGTTAACAAAGGAATGACCATAGCCTTCCAAATCAATCTGTGCCTGATCCAACTTCTCCTTATTCTTACACACACCCATTCAGCTTTGTTGTTTCAGGGTTTGTCAGCCCATTCAGATACAAAAAGACTTCTGATGGTGGAACTCACTTGGGTGATTATCCTCTGAAAGTGAAGAAACGGGTGTCCTGGGAGAATGTATCCTCAAAGTCCCTGGCCGAGGTTGAGGAAGCCTGATCTAGTCCTCAAATCATAATGGTGACTTACCACTTCTGGAGAAAACCCCCTCAAACTAATCATAAACAATCCTTTGCATTTTGGAACATACTAGAGAGTTTAAAGTTTTCACCTCTATTATGTCAGGAATCCTTTCAAAAACCCTGCAAGATAGCCAAGTATCCTCCCAATATCTGAGATGCAAGGATGAGAATTAGTGGCTTCCCTGTCGCCACCAATATTTGCTCAGCTGAGATAAAATCTGCAGCAACTTCCTGGCTCACAGCTCACATGGCATTACACTACAGCAGTTCTAAAACAGTATAATGCTATTATTTCTCTATGGGAATTCATTAAGAAGTAGACTTTTAGAACAGAAAAAACAACAACATACTAGTCTTTGGAGGCGAGTAAGACTGGGCAAGCCAAATCCTTGCTGAAGACTCAGGAAATTGTGTGACCTTTGATGTGTTACTTCTTCCTCTGGAATGTGTTGCATGAGATGGGAACTGGGTTCGATCAGGAAAGGTGGTGACTTCCCTCTGAGAAACTGGGTCTTTTCTTGATGAATCAGTCAGAGCGACACTGTCTGTAAGGAACTGTGATGTCCTTTCTGTGCCTCTGTTGGCCGTTGTTGAACTGTCCGTGCTGATGATATGCAAACTGGATGTTGTGCTGTCTGCATCCCACCTTCTATCTATATGGTGGCTGCTCCCAGTAACTGTAAATATGAAATGAGAAAATTAAACCCTATCAGGCTCTAACAATTTGGTATTTGCAGTGGAACCATGGCTTCCATCCATCTGATGTCTTGAATTTCATCTGGTGTCGAGAACTGTACAGAACTTGCAATAACTATATTATACTTGGGCATTACACAAAAAAGCAACTGGAGGGTAAATCTTGCAAAATAGGCGAATATATACAAAATTCGTTATTTGCATAAATGTATGCAGGTTCAGCTTTGTGTGGCATCTTATTCATACCTTTGATTGAAAAGGGGGGTGTCTCAGATTCCATTTGCTTTCATTTTCAATGAAATTCAACTAAGACTAACTACAAACATGTATAATTTAATGATGACAAACACCATTAAACACCTTTATGTTTGTACATCTAATCGTTAACAAAGGAATGACCATAGCCTTCCAAATCAATCTGTGCCTGATCCAACTTCTCCTTATTCTTACACACACCCATTCAGCTTTGTTGTTTCAGGGTTTGTCAGCCCATTCAGATACAAAAAGACTTCTGATGGTGGAACTCACTTGGGTGATTATCCTCTGAAAGTGAAGAAACGGGTGTCCTGGGAGAATGTATCCTCAAAGTCCCTGTTTCAAATCCAGCAATATCCAAGGAACTTGGTGAGGTATCAGCTCTTCTGGCCTGCATCACCGAAGATGACTGCTGAGCTGTATCTCCAGACCTGATCATTTCAATATAAGCAGAGTTTCTTCTTCTGGCTGTAGACACAGAAGCACTGTCGGTTATCGTCCACAGTGTCCTTCCTTTGACACTGCCATGGGCACTGAAGGCATCTGTACTGTGTGCATGAGAGATGGAAGTCCTTGTTTCAATGTTGGAACTTTTGCTGCTCATAATGGCTGGAAGGGAGAGAAAAAAGATCATTAAAACAGAAGCAAAACCAGGTCTGATTCTAATTACCCTGGACAAGTCACAAATTTATTAGCGGACGGCAGATGGTAGTTATGTTTGTGTGTGTTTGGGCCCAACCTGTGCATATGTGTGCGCATGTGTGAACAAAAACAGAGAGGGAGGGAGAATGTATGTATGTGCATCCCCATGTGCCCCCTCCGTCACATCTCATGTGAATCATCTTGGGTTTCCACTCATTTCTCATTTCAGACTACCAATAGCAATGCAGCAGCAAAAAATTCTGGGCATTAATTTTTTCATATCATCCCAGAGCCAATAGTTCTCTAGCAACAGACACTACACCACCACAGAATCCTTTGTTTTCATATCCCCTGCCCCTGGCAGTCATAGCTGCATGAATTATTGCACTTTGGAATGTATCCCAGCTTTGTAATTACACCCTGTTGACCTAATTTATCCTCCTAATTATTTTTAACATCTTTCCAAGAGACCATGGGTTGGCTGCAAACAGTTGGTGATCATTACCAGCGGTGATCATGCTTTAGTGAAGCCCACGATCCTTGCAAGTTAAGAACATAAGAGCATAAGATCGCTTCTCGGCCTTTTGGCTAAGATCAAGTGAAGAACATAAGAGCATAAGAATAGCTTTGCTGGATCCAGCCAATGGCCCATATGGTCCAACATCCTGTTCTCACAGTAGCCAGGCAGATGCCTTTGGGAAACCCACAAGTTATCCATATGTAAAGATGTTTCAGCTTAAACACAGAGACAGGGAGATGTGCTTTCAGATAATGTATTCTTGGATTCAGAATCTCTTCTAGGACCATACAAGGCAAAGCCAAGTCTATTCTCATAACAACAGTGGTCTGGCAAACTCTGTCCTGTAGGTTCCCTTCATCTGTGAGAAGCCTGTGTGTTCAGTTACTGTTATCAACATTCCAGAGCCAGCACACATGAGTGTCCGGAGTGCTCATATCTGACAGTGTCACACTAACAAATCATGCCCCCAGACAACAAGCTGCTTGCCGGGGCCAGTTTGCTCTAGAAATTCTAAAACCTAGCAGGCTGTGCAGCACATGCACTTGTAACTCAATGCCTGGAATGTAATGTAGACCATCGTCCCTTTTTAGCAGCACTCAAGCAGAAAAAGTTGGGTATGCGTGCGGGCATGCAAAAATGTATGCGCCTTCCATCCCCCCTTCCAAATGTTTTGAGGAACGAGCCATCAGACTTGACTGCTCAGTGACACACTAATGCCTTATCCGGGTGGAATCACATGCTCTTTTGTGACACAGAGGTTCTGGAAAGTGTTGATAGTCCTTTAAGGTTGTGTTATGCTTTCTTGCTTGTTCTCTCACTCGCTTCCACTTTTTCTCTGTGTGTGTCCATGCACACATATACTGAGATGTAGTCAGAATTTTAATGAGTTATAAACGGTTATATCATCTATACCAGCTATGGCCGAACTTGGCCCTCCAGCTGTTTTGGGACTACAATTCCTATCATCCCTGGCCACTTGTCCTGTTAGCTTGGGATGATGGGAGTCCAAAAACAGCTGGTGGGCCAAGTTTGGCCATCACTGATCTATACCACCAGTGAACTCATTCTTTGTATCAGTCTTGGGCTGGCCCTGCAGATGCCTAGTTTGTAGTATTTCTGATGCTATACAAGTGGTACTGTTTACCCCTAATTTTAGTTGATGGTTTCTATCGTTGTCTTTAGTTACGGTTGTTTTTAAGATTTGTGGTGGATGATCCTCACTGCATTTTATGTATATATAGCCTTAGTAAAGGTTTGGCTCCTTCCTCGCTCTAGATCAAGTGCATGAGAAAGAAATCCTTATCCTACTATTTGTTTATTAAACTTATATTCCCCACCCCCCATCCTGCAAAAGAGGGTAGCAAGCGTACAAGTGATAAAACAATTAGAACACCTAAAAAGCAATACCAATCCGGATGCAGATCTTATAACATTGAGGAAAGTAAGATAACAAGTAATAGGAAAACTGGTCTTTTGAGATAGATTAGCTAAGCAGAAGTTACAATGGCTTCTTATGTAAGTAACTCCCTCTACATAGAGGTAAAGTTCAGTTATAAATTCTTTTGTCACATACAAAGCCACTGCCTCCTGATTTGAGCAGAAATGGTGTCCATCGTCTCCTCTTGTTAAGATAAATTATTTTAGTTGCAATATGAAATTATCGCACAGCCTTCGGTATCTGTGGCTTTCTTCCCGAGTTATAACTACAACATGAGTTGTGATGATTACCAGACTTGCCTATTATTATAAATGCTACTTCCTCCTACACATTTGTGATACTGTTACAATGCATCCAGCATAAACAGATTCTGCTTTTAACCCAACTTCTGGGTTTCCACTTTAGCTGTTTGACTGGATTGTGAAGTTCTTAAAACAACACATAATGGATGTGATCTATTTGTATAGCACATTACAATGGACTTTGTCATTATTATTTTTTACTCTTGCCATTGAATTTACAGCTGCTATTTGCGTTATTTATAAATCAGTCTGAGTTCTGTGCAGCCCAACTCCCCATGAACATTTCCTTGGAAGTAAGTTCAAGATAGTTGCCTTTAAATCTATGACATGTGTTCATCTGTCAGCAGCACCAGCCCTGCCTCTTCTACCATTCCCAATTATGTGGTTGCCCTGCAAGAGATGGTCAAGCAGACAACGATGCCAACAGTTATTTACCTGGCACTTTCAAGGAGCAGGGCCTTTTCTGTGGTCTCCCCTCCACTTTATAAAACTCAGTTCCAGGGGGACATCAGGCAAGCCACGTCACTCAGCTCTTTTAAATAAGATCTAAAAATGTGCTGTTTTAGAATGGCCTTTGAGGATTAAAATGTGAGACTGGCAGAATGGTTGGGCCATGCATGTCCAATGCTGGTTTCAGCCTATTTTAGTCTGTGTTTACGCGGGTGGCGCTGTGCGTAAAACCTCAATGCCTAGGACTTGCCGATCGTATGGTCGGCGGTTCGAATCCCTGTGGCGGGGTGAGCTCCCGTCTTTCGGTCCCAGCTCCTGCCCACCTAGCAGTTCGAAAGCACCCCTAAGTGCAAGTAGATAAATAGGTACCGCTGTATAGCGGGAAGGTAAACGGCGTTTCCGTGTGCTGCGCTGGTGCTGGCTCGCTAGAGCAGCTTCGTCATGCTGGCCACATGACCCGGAAGTGTCTGCGGACAGCGTTGGCTCCCGGCCTCTTAAGTGAGATGAGCGCACAACCCTAGAGTCGGACATGACTGGCACGTACAGGCAGGGGTACCTTTATCTTAATCAGATTCAACAGTTTTACTTTTTTATTTTAATGATTGTTACTAGTGTATTTCAGGGATCGGAAGCCACTTTGTGGGCTGACTGTTCTGAAAAGTGGAATGCAAGCCTTTTAAATAAAGTACAGAGATATCTCCCCAAAATTATGTTCCTTATGTGCTCCATTTGATTACTGGTTTCGTTCATGCCTCAAACAGCAGGAAGCTCACTAACATTACCATACGACTTAAATCTTTATTTTCACAGAGGTCAAAGGCACATAGACTCTGAATCCTCTCGCTCCATTTCTGCAAAGGGCAGCCACTAAGACTTGTTGAGGCCTGACCCTACTTAACTTGTATAGTCTGATAAGCTCACAACTCAAATCCTGTTCCTGCTCAATTTGATAGCAAAGCTCAAATTAACTCCTACAAGTGAGACTCCTAAAAAGGGGGATTACCAATTGGAAGTATTGGAATGTGGCAGCTGTTAAATGAAAATATTATAAACATTTTAGGAACTTTAAACCCAACATTGTAGGGTTTTAAAAAGAAAGAAAGAGGGCTACCTTTTCTAAATTTCACAGACTCTATGAAATCAATGTATAACAGGCCAGATAGGCTTAATTTATGAGTTAATTATCCATACCCCTTTGGTATTGCATGCATCCCTGTTCTGTTAACTTATTTATGGCATCTGCTGGCATTGGAAACTGTATTTTTCATTACTGTGTATACAGTATTATTATTATTATTATTATTATTATTATTATTATTATTATTATTATTATTATTATTATTATTAAATGCATATCTGATCTGTAACAGAATACTTTGTACTGGTGCAATTATATTATTTTTATTTGCTCCTTCATTTCTCCACCCTTTCCTTTTGTGTGTATTTGTCACTACACCGGGAAAATGAAACAAAACGTTTTTGAAACGTTTCTGGGCAGAATATAAAGGCTAACTGGAAGACTTGCAGAAGGGAATTAGAGAAATGTGTTTGCTTTTCAACTAGGATGCCAGGATAAGCAACTCTGCTGTGTAGAGAAACGAAGTTCTGAGTTCTGCTTTATTCAAATTTTGAATGGCTGAATACTTCAGAGTTCGTCTTCTGCAGTTATCCTTTCAAAACACATTTATAAATTAAACATTCAGAGACAAAAAGTGGAAAATTATATCACTCAATAGGTTAAAGATAATCAGCTCCTTCCCCACAATTTGTCCTTGGTAGATTCCACCCTTCAACGGCTACAAAAGTGTATGTGTGTATGGATTGGGGGACACAATCCACCATAAATGTGCTGTTTACACATCATTATATTTTCAACATTATGATACAAAAGGAATTTGATTAGCAAATCTTATTGGGGGGAAAACGGGATTATTCATTTACTTAGGTTTCTATTCCTCTCCATTGCTGTGTTTTAACAAACTGAAAATATAGAAAACCAGTTAAAATGAAATAAAATTTAACCATATTGGAACCATATCAACAAGACACACGAGGTGATTGTGAGGCTATGTAAGCAAGGCCTGCCTACCCATCAGCTAAATATTTAGCAAAATTGGGAAATGGCCTCATCAGGATATCATCCCATGTACTGTCAGTCATACATACATTAGTAAGAGTAAGACCTCTTCACAAGCTTGCCTAATATACAGTCAGTAGAGAACATGGTTGGTGGGTGTATTTTGGCTCACTCACACTT